CAATTAGCGCGGCGGAATCATAAGTGTCGTGTTTCGACAAGTCTCCCGCTCCAATGTCGAAAATTACCGCGGATTTTGCAAACTTGCCGAAGTGTACCGAAGCGTCATCGTCGCGGATACCAATTGCGTGTGTTGCATTTGGAACATTTTACGCAATTGGACGCAGAAGCTTAATTACTTAGCTTCCGGTTATTCGACGCGCAACATCAAGAGAAACTCGAAGTATCGAGTCGCATCGTGATTGACACCGAGGCATGCTCAACGCACCGATCGATCGTTCCCAGTTCTCTACATTTCCAACCGCGAAATGGGCAAACCCACCGTCCCCTACGTTTCCACGGAGAAACGAACCGGGGATCGATCGTGTTATGTCTCGAAACGAGGTGAAAATGACGAAAGTGAGCGAATTTACTAGAATATTCGTAATTTCATCGGTCGACATCTAGCGAATTTGCTCACTCTTGCTAATTCTCACTTCGTTTCGAGATACGCAATTTGACCCCCTGACGACCCCGCGAGGAAACAAGAGCGAAGAGCAAAAAGGCTGCCCACACTCGGGCATTCACCTCAGCGAGATCACGTCGCCAGCACCACGTGCGTCGCCCGACTTTCGTCGAAACAGCGAGCGCCTTTTTCTCGGACAAATTCCCCGCACGCTCCGTTCGTTAGCATCCCCATCGGGTAACCACGTTCAGAGTTTCGCGAAAGGTCACCTGACGCGAATCCCGCGAATTTCACCGAGGGCGTCGAGAAAGAAGGCCGCTCTCGACACATGTCGCCAGCCGCTCCGCGCCTGCTCCGCGGGGCGAGTTGCACTCTTTTGCACTCCCCGCAAGTAAAACCGAACGAACAATGTGCTCGGGCCGGGGAGGAGCGACGCGAGGGGGAGCGCAGAAAGGGATCGAAACGGAGCCGATGACTCGGGTGAAAATTGAAAGCCCATGAGGGTGAGAGGTCGCCCTCGCGCGATTACCGCGCCGATAATAGCCGATATTCCCGTAGAAGCGGGCGAAAAGCGCGAGCCTTCCACGCGAGACGCTCATTTGCCGAAACTAGACGAGCTCGCTCTACTTCGAGAGAGCGCTGAAAAATTTACAGCTGCTGCAAAAGCGAACCTCGTACACGGTGACGCCGAGAAAACATATTTCCGATGAAAACTCGCACCCCGTGCGATATAACCTCGTCGAGTTTCCTACGAACGCGAAATTTCTAGCGTCACGGGGGCGACGGTGACGGGCGATGGGACGCGAATAACCGCGACTCTCTCTCTCTTTCTCTCTCTCTCGGAACGATTGATCGGAGCTGTGCATAGATCGGCGAGGTGGTGGTCTACAAATGGACGTACGCGTGCCTCATACGAACGCACACGTATCCCCTTATCCGCCGTCAATATGGCCGTTTTCGCGCACGGCTCACGACGGCGTCCCGTCGCTGTCTCTCTCGTCACACTCACCAGGTATTGCTTGCAATGTTTTTTATGCTTAACGCAGGACGAGCGCTTCTTTTTCTTGGCGGCGGCGTTGGCGGCGGAGGCGGCGACCAGGCCGTTGCCGGACTTCTCCTTGCGGGGCGTTGACAGATTCGACTTGTTCGCGGGCATCGTTCCGCGTCCCTTCCCGGTTCTCCGGCGTCGTCGAGTCCCGCTCTTTCTCTGGCTCGTTCCCAGGCAGCGCGATCCGTCGCCAGCCGTCCGCGACGAGAGGTTATCACCCGAGAGAACGAGGAGCACTCAGGAGCGGTCCAGCGATTGGGAGAGAGATTGATAACGACCGACCGAAACTTTCTCGCCCCGCTATACGCACGCCACACCGCGCGATACACGTGCGCGTCACTCGGCGTCGCTGTGTGTGCGTGCGTGCGCGCATATGACGCGCACTCGGCGGCTACATTCAGCCGAAGCCATCGCTGCTGCCCCTTTCTCGCCCCCTTCGCTCTCCCTCCCCTCGCAGCCCTTCGACCGCCGCCGCCGCGTCGTTCGAACTTCGCGCCATGAGACCTGCCTCGGCGCACGGCGGCGCCTTTCAATTTCTGCTCGAGTTTTTCGGCCGGAAGAAAATGGCCGCATTCAGCGGAACGTTTATTTTACCACTGGTTGGAAGTTTCCCGTTGTTTAGATTGGATTGTATTCCTCTGGATCTAAAAGAATAATCCGATCTCAGCTGAGAGAAGTTCCAACAGTTGCCAAGTAAACGTTCTGTTAAACCAATGTTATATTGTGGACAAATGCAGCTTATATTCCGATCCGTGCGTTTCACTCTACACGGCATTTTTAGCTTTTGAAATATGTGTCTGTTTTGATTAAATGAGGAGGTGTGAAAAGGCGCAAGCTTACCTATGATAAAATTTCCTATTTATGAAAAATTCCTACCTTAAAAAAAATCCAACGAGACCTGAGAGGCAGTTTGATTTAAATTCGCGAGTGGAACACGTACATTGTACTTCACAGGTGCAAAAATAAAGGTGCAAAAGTAACCGGTACTTAAAGATGATAGACGCATTATCTATTGCAGCTTGCTGGTACTTACCGATTTTTTTCTTCGGCGAGTCAAACGCAGCTATTTAAACTCCGAATTGCCACAACGAGACGAATGTACGCGACATCTCGCCACAATGAGCGCGCGAAACTCACTTTCGGCACTCCCGGCGATAAATTGCACGATTTACTTATAGCACTCCAGACGATAATTCGCGCGCGAGACTCGGCTAGTCGAAAATGACGGAAATTTCGGGACACTTTTCGGATCGGTACTGCCGCGTCGCGTTCCGTTCCGTAACTAACTCGTACACGCCGCGGCGGTTGCGTTTCTCCAAGTATCGAAGCGCGTGGTACTTCACTCGGCACTATCGACGCTCGAGCCACATCATTGGTTTGTTCTTCTTAGGTGAATTCGCTGCATTAGTTTAAGAAATGCACGAGTATTGAAGCGTGAGAATCTCATACATTTCATATTCTTCAATGTGTATGTAGATTTTTTTTAACTAGTGCAGTCAGTTCAGCTATAATAAAAAGAACAGACCATGTTTGCTTCCGACGTTTTCCCACGGTTTTTTTGCCGCGAAGAATGCACGAAACTTGCCGTCGGCGTTCCTGGCGACGACTTGTGGCTCGAAATTCATTTTTGACGATCTGAAGACGAAAATCGCGGCCTTTTGAACTCCGACCGCCAATCATGCCGCGAATGCGCGATACTTTGTCTTCTCTTGATCGCTTATTTCGTAACATACTTGGAACAGAAAATAATGACATGAAAATAAGATCAAAATGATGAAAAAATTATTGAAAAACGAATTTCATGATAATTTTCTCATTTCGATATCATTTTCATTTTCTGTTCTACCTGCCCAAGTAAAACGGAAAATTACGATAACGTGAAATTGACATCAAAAGGACAGGAAAATGATCGAATTATGATTAAAAAATGAATCATTATTATTAGTCATTTTTCATCATTTTGACGTCATCGTGATTTTCTGTTCTCTACCTGAGTATCTACTTTCAACGGTTGTCCAGCGTTATCTTGTCGCGGCGAACTCGAGAGACTTACTTTCTCGTCACTCTCGACGATGATTCAAGCGCGATACTCTGCTTCAGTGAATCGGAATCGCGGGATATACAGGACGACGTTCGGATCCGTATTACCACGTCGAGATCTGTCCTATAACTGACCTGTATGTGCATGTCGCGACGGTTGCGATTCTCGAAGTATCGATGCGCGCAACTTCACTCGATACTCCCGACGCCCGTTTCCACGCTATGTTTATTTTCGGCGATTTTCAAGATTCTGTCACAGCGAACACGCAAGGTTCATCCTCGGCGAACCCAAATCGTATTTGACAGCATAAAATCGACCAAACAACATTATGTCACGATATCATAACAAATATTACAACTTGCGAATATTACAAAATATCGCAATGCTGATGCCATATACCGTTCCCGCCGATTTTCAGTTACAGTGACTCGTTTATCTATCAAAAAGCTCACGATCGAAAGTACCCAAAGCGCTTGAGACAATCCTAATGTCCGAAATATTACGACAAACGATGTTGTATTGAAAGCTGAGCGATCGTAATGTATTTCAATGGTCATGTCGGAACTATTCACGATCACTCAAAAGTCTATAGAGGTTAGGCATCGCCAGTTCGAATCGTTTCGCTTATAGCCTTACATGCTCGGAAAACCCATTATTTCCCATTTTTCTACGAATGTTCTCAAAGACGTCTTAAATATATGTTCAAGACGTCTCAAGGACGTTTCATGACTCGATTTTAGACGTTACGCTGTCTGGGTTTCTGTCCCAAAAGGTAAAAACATTTTCCAAGAGTAAATTTCACGCATTTACTTCATTCCGCATGGAAAATAAGAAACCGAAAAAATTCGCGAAAAAAATAAGAAAACCGGATTTCTCCCGAGCTTCCGAAGCTCTACAATTTTGGCTACCTGATACTCGTTGCATGCTCGACACGTTGAAAGCGAATCCCGAGAGCGAACGAGTGTCGAATCGAGCGAAGACGCGTCCTCACGTCCGAGTCGCGAGCACTTTATTACCGAGTGCCTCGCGTCCACATATACGCCCCGCATTTCTCTCGGCAGCGTCGAGATGGCAGCACGCTCCGTTCTGCCGGACCGAGCTCGCGTAGCCGCCTCTAGTTACCTCCTCCGTTCTCATTCGTAAATAAGATTCTTTTGTCAAACACGAAATACGGCCTGTCATCGATCACCTTACCCACTCGATTGCCATGATTCGGCCGTGCATACACACGCATGAAATCGTGCTCTTTACATAGTTACCCATTCATAAAAATCTCCCGGGTATAACTAAAAATCTAGTTTCTCTCGGCACACACACAACATACAAACATATACAAAGAGAGAGAGTACGCGGTCGCGAGAGCGGCGCGCGCAGAGCGGCACGAGAGAGCGGAGGGAAAGAGCGGTGGTGGGAAAGGAAGAGGGAAAGAAGGGGCAGGCACGATAGAGGGAGAAAGACAGTCGAAATAAGTTGACCCTTATCTCCGCGCTCGAGCGCGCCCGTTCCGCTCGCAACTCCCGGTGACACGGAGAAACGTTACGCCGCCGCCACCGTCGAGCGAGCTGTGCGCTTACACACCGAGGTTGTACTACGTATCGTAACTGTCCAGACTGTCGTGTGCTGCTGTAAAGTGCTGTGAGGCCCCGCGCTGTGTGCGTCCGCCGCACGCTCTCCTCGGCATCGTCGTCCTCCAGTCGTGCAGTTTGCGCCGATGCGCTGATACGTGCCGCGGGAACAGGCGAGGTAGTATAATGGTCTGATCGCGGTCTCAACATGACTGTGGACTTCGCCGACTACTTTTGGGTGAGTGCCTGTCTCTCGTCCGTCTGTTTCTCTCCTCTTCCTTCCCTCTCTTTCTCTTTCCCCGCGTTCCCAGTCTGTCTTACTCCGTCTTTCTAACGGGCAACCGCCGCAAAACGTCACTTGGCCACTCTCGTGCGCGCAAATTTAGGTTATGTCGCGGGAGAACGTATACCGTGACCTCGCCGTGATTCTTCTCGGCCCTCGCCCTGTCCCCCCTCCCTTGCCGCGCGATCGTTACCCCTCTTGGTCGTCTGCCACGGCGATGTACGCGGTGCACTCGTCAACGGAGTTTCTTTTTCCTCTCGATCGTCTCTCTCTCTCCCTCGTTATTTGCATCTCTTAAGACGTCTTGCTGACTTCACCTCTTTTTTACCTTACCTCTTCTTCTACCTTCCTCTTTCTCTCACTTTCTCTCTCTCTCTCTCTCTCCCCGTTCTCGTACACGCGCGTTTACTATATTAACGCGTTGTATTACGCCTCGCGAGCATTAAGCGTGTAATGTCAACCGCGAGAAAAATAGGTGATACACTCGTCGACGCGTAATGACATGTACACCGCATTTTTTCGCAGTCTCGTAATGACAGCATACGGATGTAAAGTCGGGACGCACGGTGTGCGAGAGAGCAACACCTGACCATGTACCGCGTTTTTTCTGTATTTGTATCTCTTTCGTGCAATTAGCCTCCTCTAATTGCGAGAATAATCCACGCTTGTCCTTCTAATGACGTATATCGTTCGGCGAGAAGCCGAGCAAATAAAAGAAATCCCCGTCGGAACGTGATAGAAAAGAGCTTATCGTAGACACAAATGGAAAATATTTACACAAGCTATTATGTGCGTACGTTCTCTCTCTCTCTCTCTCTCTCTCAACAGTAGAGGATTATTTTTGTTCTTTTAAGTATACCGGACAAGTTATGAGAGACCAGCATTGATATATATTTATCTTCGCCTGAGCATGCTGCCTCTCAGGCAGCAGGCTGCACGCACTGATAAGATAGTTGTCGTTTCCTTTTACGCTCGAGAAACATTATCCTGTATTGGAGATTAGTTAGTTGAATTTAATGTAAAATATTGCACGTACGAGGCGCGAGATAGCGCTCGGAAGCAAGTCGCAGAGTTTCTTTCGCGATAAAATAAAAAGAAGAAATTGACATATTGATCGTCGCGGGTAATTGGTACAATAGGATGACAAGAGTAATAATATATAATGACAGCTCATTGTGGCAATGTCACTCGAGAGTCCTGCTCGATGCGAGTTTACTGCACGATCAGGGTTCAAGTGTTAAATGGTTAAGTGGCCTTAAGTACCGTTCCAGCGTGTATCTTGAAGCCGCGATATTCTAATTACATGAAAAATTTTCGTACCACTGAGAGAGCGCTCCGCAACACGGAAATGTATTCCACGCGTATTCCATCTCTCGCTCAAAAACTTTCCTTCTCTTTGAACCTCTTGAAATAATTACATGTGCGTGTCGATTAATCCTGACGCAATTTAAGAACGTATTGCCCATAAATCAAAATAATGAGGAAATTATGAAAAAATTACAAATTTATCTACACTGCATTTAAAAGTGACGTTTAAAATTTGACGGTAATTAAGAGCCTGGATCAAAAGTTATTCCACTTTGAAGGAGGTTGTAAAGTGAAATGAGTTGGATAATAATAATTCGATGGAACTTGTATTGCATATATATTGAAATATTATCTGACGCATTGCTCGTGCAATTAGAAAATTGACCATTCGAGAGTTGAGATATTTGTAACTAAAGTTGGCACTTTTTATATATGTTCCTTGAAATTAATATGCCATTTTTAATTACTATTTTTAATGTCTCGTAAATTGAAAATAAGAATTTAATGAAAAACTACTATAGTATTAAAGATTAATATGCAGATATATACAAATTTCAAAATTATTGACTATATTTCATAACTCATCATAATATTCGAAATATATATATACATATTCAAATTAAAAGAAATAAAAAATAATATTGTATTTGTAATAATATTGTGTTTAATAAATACTAAATTTATAATCAGCCCTCCTTGACGTGCGCGCCACTGAAAATACAACACTAATGGGCAATGTATCCTTAAAGAGCGATTTCAATCGGAGAGGCCGAACCTTTTCGACATCTGCCACGCAAGGATGTTACTGAGCTGTCGTTTTCTTTTCTCTCTCTTTCATTATTCAAGGGCGAAAAGAACAATGGATTTGACGTGTTGTATCATAACATGAAGCATGGTGTGGTCGCCAGTAAGGAATTGGCTGAGTTTTTGCGAGAGAGGTCAGCCATAGAGGAGAACAATTATAAGCTGCTTAGCAAGGTAGCCAAGCAAGCGAGCAATAGCACGCAAGGATCGTTCGCACCTGTGTGGGCCGCTCTGAGAGGTGCTGCTGAGAAACTCGCCGGTTTGCACTTGCAAATGGCCCAGCGGGTCACCGAACTCATAAAAGATGTGTCGAAATACGCGGATGAGCTACACAAGAAGCACAAGGCTGTACGTACGTCGCCACGTCCTCCCTTTATATTTACCTTGGCCCTATGGTTACTCGCCGTTTGTCTTTGGCTAATAAATTTCGCGTGTATTTTCTCCCGTCGATTCGATCACGGAGCCTCGAAGTCCCACACACACTCGCACACATACGGTGTTATCGCGCACGATTATTACGTTTCGTTATAGAATATTTGATGTCTCGCGTATTATCGGTGTCCGCCCACAGTCGGGTCAGCGAGTTCCCATTGTCGTACAAATGAGTCGACTGTGCTCTACTGATACGCGGACTGGCACATCCTATCTCCGTCAGGATACGTGCGCGTGTAGTAGTTAATTGCAGTCGCGTAGTCATTTGTTTGTTTGCGCGTACGATAGCCCGGATCGGTAGATTCGGGTCGGCTCGTGGTCGAATCGTCCCAACTGTTTTTGGGCGTAAGTCAGCTGTGAAAGTCATCGATGAAATGTCCAGGTGAAGGAAGAGGAGTCCTCTACCTTAGAAGTTGTACAGAATATACAGAGTATTACGGTGACGCTGCACAAGGCGAAAGATATGTGTATGCAGAAGGGTCTCGAGTTGGAGAAACTGAGGAAGGACAATGCCAGTCAGAGGGAGTTGGAGAAGGCGGAGGTCAAGTTCAAGAAGGCGCAGGACGATTACAGGGCTCTGGTGGACAAGTACACGGTCATACGGAACGACTTCGAGACGAAGATGACTCAGGCGTGCAGGGTACTACTGATTGTGGATTATAAATTCGTAAAGTCACACACACACACACACACGCACGCACACAACTGAGACGATGATATATATCAATAGAGGGCGATCGAGCGAGGCGTATTATATAATCGGTCTGTTTTTTCTTTCTTCCATTCTCAAGCGATTCCAAGACGTCGAGGAGACACACCTGAAACACATGAAGGAATTCTTAAACACGTACGCCGACGTATTACAGAGCAATCATGAGCAAGTCGGCCAGGTACATATTGACTTTAAGCGGCAGTGCATCGACTTGACGGTGGAGAAATTATTAGAGCGGTTCGTTCAGAGTAAATACACGGGTTTCGAGAAGCCAGGTAAAAAAATGGATCGCCTTCTTTCTTCCGGGGGCGCCCCTCCCCCGATTTCGTCCGTCGCACGACACTCGGTCGCATAATGGGCTCTCCTCCCTCTGTGTGAACCAGGTGTGATCGAGTACGAGGAGGTAATGACGAGCCTGGCGGAAATGACCGGCCATGCGCAGTCCGACGGAGGAGGCGTCGAGACACCGAAGGAAACGTCAAAGGGAGCCAACGGAGAGACAGGCGTAGCCGGTAACAGTCACAGTTCAAAGAAAGATCAGGGATTAAAGGGGGAAGGTTTGAGGGTGGACGGGGAAAGGGGGAGGGTACTGGAAAAGGATAGAGAAAAAGAAAAACAGAAGGAAAAGGACAGGGAACTGTCACATGCGCAAGCCACCAAGGCTTCCCGCCGTACTACCTCGCTACTCAACCTGTTCATGTCCAACTCCCAGGGTAGGTCTCATTGAAATTACGTAGATTTCTCGAGATCTCATTATCTCTTTAATTGCGATAGTTTCGACCTGCCTTGGCCTGACGCAATGAGATGCTATCTCGGTGAAGACACACTTCTCCTCCTTTTTTCGTGTTTCTCGTAACTCGTGCTTTTCGCGTTCCATCGATCCCTACGACACGCGTCGTGCGTAGTCGCGTGAAAGGCAAAACGAGAATTTTTTGTTCGATCGGCAAAATTGTTTCCGCGTAGGAAAAACGTCCGTTCAGTGTGAAACGCAGTTCGCAGCGACTCATTGGCATACATTGCACACGTCTCGGTAGGCTTGTTCTGCCAGTTTTTATTTATATATCGTCTCAGTACCGTACCATTGGTATCATGTGTATACACACTTGCCCAGTTTATAATTGCAGCACTCAATCACAGATATGTCAATTTGAGTACAACAATGCGACATACAGTTTTATCAACTTTTTTTTTTACGCTTATTGTGGTTGTTGTGTTATTACTGCTTATGCGTAACGATCTCTAACATTAGGTGGAGGACGGCATACAGAACACACTGTGTTCCAGGGGGTTTTTTTTTCTCCGGTCTTGATTTTAATCCGATCGCTGGTTCGACTTTTTAGACAAATTTATTTATTTCACACGTTACTTCGTGCTCACGCATGGGAAACGTACGGACGGAGAAATTCATGGCTACGCTTGTATGCGATGATCTGATCACCGGGAAATTTATCAGTCACATTTTCACGCCTTTTTGTCACGCAATTAGGATACTCGATATCCATCCTCCGATTTCCAATAGCATGCACTGTTTACGCGCGCACACAGTATCATTACTCTTGTACACCGGATAATACCGGATGTACGAAGATTTATCCAGTTAAACGCAGAGAGCCATACGAGTTTATAAACGAAGTGCGAAGCGTGTCGCACGATTACACTCACGAAATCTCATTACCCCTCTGGAACGCGCTCTTATGCCACATGAAAGGTGCAAAGGTCGATAAAGTTCCGATCTAACGGTACAACTAATGCGCGTGGCAGCGACGCGGAGTGTGAAAGAAAGGCCGCCGTGAGCGGGGAAATATTGAGAGACGTGAGCGATGAGTGTTGTTTCAGACAAACAGAGGCAAGCAGGCTCTGGTTCGGCACCCGCCACTCCTCAAGGGAACCTGCCTCCTGCTGTTCCACCTCCCAGCATCTCCAGGAACCCTCTCAGAGGATCTAAATGTAACAGCCTACATTGTGATTACCTGTACCTCCTGCCGTACTCCCTCACTTTAGAGTATACCTGCATTAGACTATTCGCTGTAACTGAGCGCGACTCGAAAGTGAACGTGCTCCTCTTTCTCTCTCTCTCTTCCTCTCTACTCGATCTTCGCTGATACGAAGTGATTAACGACCGTTCTTCCTCTATACGTGCAGTTTTCTCTGTTTATCTCGCCTCCTTCGCGTTTTCGCGCCGGCGGCGGCGAGTGTTTGAACTGTACGAGAGACGCGAGGTAACTTGTCGTGTGCACTCGATTCTTCACTTCTATCGCCTACACAATTGTTGTCACACGTTTTAATCTGGTAATCTTGTCCAGACGTTCTGTACATATGGACCCGAATACGATTGGTCAATCTGAATACGATGCGATAGTGTATAGTCGCCAAATATTCCAGGAAATATTCCGTAAACTTGTTTCGGGTTTCGGGATACCTCGAGCGAAAAAGACGATGTCTTCTCTCCTAACTTCGCGGTAGCATACATGTACATGACCAATCTTATTCGAAATTTCCCCGTATAGTGAATATCGTTTATCTATATTTATATCTTTTTTGTTGTTCTCTCTCTCTCTCTCTCTCTCTCTCTCTTTATATATACTGTGCTCGGTGACAGTGATGTTATCTCTTATGTTGATGTTTATTCTTTTCTATGGCCGAAGAGGACGGTAATATGGTTAAGTAAATAATCTGCTGACTTACAGTGGTTGCGCGTATTATGGTTCCTCCACTCTGCACACTCTTAGAACAGCAGTGTACGTATACTAACTCTCTGTCTAATCGCTTCAAATTAATGTTACACGCAGCGCTACAGATACATATCATTATGCGAGCTGGTTTTGACAATGAGTAGGACATTGATTGCATAAATACTCCGTTGTAACATTAATTTACACCGCCTCTGTAACGCAAATATGTAAAATATTTCTTCGTTTTAACGCGTATTTTCACGCGTGAGATGAGGATCTCGCCGTGAAAATACCCCGGACGAGAGGAAGAGATATTTTCCTGGTTCAAATTCTACTAACATTGAAAAGACGCTTGCATAGAACATAGGCAGCTAACGTTAGAACGTACGTAGAAGTACAAACGAGTAATTATTTTTTTTGTTCTCTCTCTCTCTCTCTCTCTTTCTCTTTCTCTTTACAAGGTTTCATCTATAAATTGTTTTTCTAACAATCGTCTGTGTAAACGTGTACTATTTAGTTCACGGGAAACACGATTTACCCGACAATGTTACACATCCACGATAAGGGAATACACGGGGATATTATTCGTACAACACCCGCACGCAGTTCGGTTGCGACGTTGTCAACGCGATCTGTTCATTTGATTTTTCCTTCTTTCGTGAACACAGAGGATGTGACACAAAATTACGAACTTGCGGTAATTTTCCGAATTGACAACGCGAGACACAAGAACGTCGAGAACGTAATTCATGTGACATAAAATTCGATAGAACACAGCACTCGCGAAAAGTACAATTCTGTAATACAATTTCATTTTCACGCGTTGTGTTAGCGAACGATTCAAATCAGCTTGTCACGTGTGTGCCAACTAATGACACGTCATTAATATTATTCCAATTACATTATTCCTACTACGGATGTCCGATACAAATTCTGTATATCTTCTTTCCGAAATCCATTCTCTAACGACGGTGTAGTGAGACGTAAGGAAACAAAGCAAATAATGAGTAAACTAAGGGAGTTGGACTTGAATAATGTTGAAACACAAGTGTGGGGTTGGCTACTGACGGGGCCTCAGGTGAGCCGTTTTCAATAAAACTCATAATTTGCATGGCTCACGTTCCTTGGTTGTTTTTTTTTTATCTAGCTCTTGCGTTTATTTTCCAAGTGTAGGAGAGGTCTCTTCTTTTATTTCCCTTTCCGTTACGATAGCGTAATACGATTCTGCAAGCAACTACCTCAAACCACCTACGTTTCATATCTGCGATAATCGTTTTCCTCCTCCCCTTTTTTCTTCCACCCCACCGTTTAGCACATCTACCGCCAATGTCTACGTTAATTTCAATCGTTAGATATTACGCTCTCTTCGTTTGATTTTTCGAACATCTCTCTTTCTTCATTCTCTGTCTCTCTCTTTCTCTCTCTCTCTCTCTCTCTCTCTCTCTTTCGATCTCACTCTTCTGAACGTTTGTCGTGGCTGTTTGCCTCAAATGCCCGAGAGATTACTTTTTGTGCATGCATAATAAAACGTTACGTTTGCTTGCAGAAGATATGTTTCTCCGCGTGCTAATCTTCCAAAGAGGACCGCACGTACGGAAGAGCGTGCGGTCAAGACTGCGATTTTACAGTGTGTCTCTCTCTGTAGGTTTGGTAATTGTTAGAAAAACAATTTAAGAAGAGATTAGGCGACGCAGACTAGTAGGACTTTTGATGGTGGTGGTGCGTTGGGGTACCCTCGTACTTTCTACTAATGTGACCGTGCTATACCCACCTTTGCCGTATTTTCTTTTCCATATATACCTCACTCTTACCATCCGCATTTCATTTGACGTAGGTATTTACCTGTGGTTAGTGGTGCTCGCAGAGTGCTGATATGTATTTCCTTGGAGGGCTGCCCTGCCGAATATATCGGCGAGCTATCAATTACTTGTAATTCCGCATTCTCTACATAATCAGACGTCACTCAGATCGGGATTACAGGTTCTTGTCGACACACGCGCGGCAAATTGAAATTCGCTGCAATGGAATTTATATCAGCATTGTACCGGTGAATGCGAAAGTTCATTAATTAGTTAGAAATGCATCAGCTAGTTCTCTCTCTCTCTCTCTCTCTTTCTCTCTCTCTCTCTCTCTCTCTCGATACGATGTCCGTTGATTTGCATTAGATGCTATTCGATCACCGTTACGCGTTACGTTTTGAACACTTGGAAAGCAAATTGATCCTCAGTTTCCCGGATCGGATTATAAATATACGGTGCGTATCGTCGAGACCGTTAATATCGTCCGAGTGAAATCGCGCTTGATAACATACCCCGTGCTTTCGCGGAGGAAGTGTCCTCGTGTTCGAATCGCGTACACCGTATGTTTATATGTCGTTTAGATCTGTATGGTAATGCAGCTGTGTAATTTTCTTTCGCTTTTTTTTTTATTTCGTTCACGTATAATTTAATTGCAAGAGATACTACCCTATGACACTTTTTCCAACGTCGCGAGATGTCAGAACCTCTTCCGTTACGTTTCACTGACGATAGTATGATTGAGATAGTATCGCGAATCATAGAGGTGTAAAATTTTTCTCGCACAAAACCCTACTTGTGTATGTGATGTTACGCGAAATTACGAGAACAGATTTTATTAGAATTGATATCCGTTTGAGTACATGTGTAGAGTATCCGCAGGCACTGCGTTTAGATTCGAAATTCGTCGCGCTGTAATATTGTCTCGCGTCATTTCTGCAGATAGAGAGAAATCTTTTAGACCGTGATAGCTATTTGTAAGAGCAATTCGTTCTCTGAGTACACGTACTTATAAGTAGTAGCTAGTACAACATACATACCGTCAGTCCGTCCGTATTGTCTACATTTGGCGTGTCCACGTGGCCAACAGGGTTTCTCCGCAGCAGAAGAGAAAAGCGGAAGGAGAAGAAGGCGAAGAAGAAGAAGGACCTCGTGGAAACGAGCAGCAACAAAGAAGAAAAGTCTGACCTGTCAGTATACGCATGCGCAGCAGACCTAGTGCACGTAGAGTCAGTTTCACAACCGGCATCGAGTCGCGCTGATAACGAGCATCCGTGTATCTCTTTTGATATCCACGATATCCTGATAATAGACGTGTATTCTCTTCGTTGGACCTCTCGCGAATCTCAGAACTCGGAATTGACTTACCTCGCGAGTCGAAAGTATCGTTCTCATTAACCGTTCGTGATCATCGCATCCCACGCAGTCTCTTGTTTTATCTCATTTTGCAGTCACACACCCTACGCGCCTACAAGTGCAATAATTTCACTTATCTTAGCTATGCTTCTGGCACTGAGAGAGAATTTACCTTGTAATGCACTGGGCCTGCTGGAACTGTCGAAAGTACGTTACCTTAAACGCCCTATCACGAACGCGATAGGGAAGACAAGGACGACAGCAGGAAGTCGGAAACACCAACGCCTGAGGTAGACGAGGATGGTTTTTGCATCAGACCGAAGCCGGATCCGTGGGAGAACGAGAAGGGCTTTTACTCGAGCTCCGACACCGACTCGGAGGACGAGAGGGAGCGCAAGATCCGAGTGGAGATAAAACCTCTCAGCAACGGCGGTGCGCCCATGAGCGCCAGCGTGGACGAATTGAGGGCGACAGTGGAAAATCTCTCCTTATCACCTGCACCAACAGTGAGTCGTTCTATGCGGAAAGAATCTCGTATACCGCGTGCGTTACATTCCGGTCGCAGCGTGCGACCGACGCAATGAATGTCACATACGTGTGCGTTGTCTGAAAATCGTAATGCAATCACGAAAGAGGCGAAGAACGCGCACAACTGAAACGCAGGTGTCCCATTTTAACGGAAACAGGAGAAATATCTTGAAGACGAAGCAATTGACAAAAAAAAGCGATTCGAGTAAAAGTTGTAGGGTTTGGAGAGGAGCTTAATAAGTTAATGATCATAATTTCGTTGTACAGTCGATAATTCAAACTCATTTCAAGATCAATTTTATTTAATTATTTTTTTTTTTTATAAAATCATGCGGCTTCTCTTTTCACGAAGAACCCAACTTGTTTCTTGGTTGCACCGGCGATTTTCGGAACAGGCCGCGCGTGAATGTACACACTATTGAAAAATAACTTTCCATGAAGTTTCTCCATTCGTCTGACGATGCCGTCGTGTTCGAACAGGGACGTAGAGAATCGAATACCGATTCCGATCATCACATGAAAAGGTCTCAGTCAGTGTCACAGCAATTAGGAGGTAAGCCAAGCTCAGATTTACTTGGCCTAAACTTGTTCAATCCTAGCAGTACACCGTCGAGCGCGTCGACACCGACCGGCAGCCATCCTTACGCCCCGCTGCAAAGTCCACCGCCGCCTTCCACGTCACCTACCCCGCAACCACCGCCGCCGCAGTCCGCGCCGCCTACACACCCCCACACCCGATTTCCAGGTAAGTCTCATTAACGAGCTTATCTGTTCACTCGGCTGAGAGATATAGCTCTCCGCTATATGGCCAGAGCGCATCGAGCTGCGGAAATGGCGAAGCTAGACCTTTATTCGAGGCGAGAGAGTGAACTTGCATATTTGAAAATATAACGCGAGGAAAAATTACACGCGAGAGATTTATCAATTTTTTTTTATTTCCCTCAATTTCACTCAAATTGTAAAGTTCAGTGTCGTATTTGTAAATTTAGTAGTTATCAAGCAAAATTATGTTTCTGTACTTATGTTTTATTTCCTAAATAATAAATTTTAATTTGAAACAAAGTTGACGTAAACATAATATGCACAATTTTACAGACTCGAAAATATTATTTTTTATTTTTCTTATTAATACTGTATGCGTCATTGATTTAATAAAGATGCACAGATAATAGAAAAAGGTAATAAGTACGTATATGTATTTCGAGCATTATTATAAACTTATGAACTATTTATATATAATATTTTCATGATAAAGTGGTCAATAATTCTGAGATTTCTATATAATGTCATATTCACATATTTAACATCTTTTTTTTTATATCATTTTTGTCATAATCTTATTTTTTAGTTTAGAAGATATTAAAAATAGAGATTAAGAATAGCTAGTTTCAAGGAACACGTGTAAAAAGTGTCAATTTTAGTTGCAGATATCTCAGCTCTCGAACGGCCAATCTTTCTGTAATTGCACAAGCAGCTACATAACATTTCAATGTATACGTAATGCAAGTTTCATCGAATTCTTATCAAGCTCGCTTACATCTTAATAAACCTCCTTGATTAGATCGATTTGAATTTGTACGTTACCAACCTGATCAATGATCTGCTTGCAGATGGCGATCTGTTTTCGGAGGTGGGTGACATCACGCCCGCCCTGCCCCCGAAGCAGTCCGCGTCCTCGACGCCGACCGGATCCATCGTGATCCCCAGGCCGCCGTCACGAAGAGGCGAAGGTCCGTCTTCGCGGGGCAGGATGTCACCCGCCACCATATCCCGGGCCGACAGCGTGGCGAGCCTAGAGTTTCGCACTGCCGGCGTGGGCGTGGGTTCCTCGAGGGGGCCGTCACCGCTTACGATCGGCCTCGCCGATACTATCCCCCTAGCGGTGGCGTTCCACGAGATCGTACATTCCTACTTCCGAGGCACGGACGAAACCCGGTGTCAGGTGAAGCTCAGCGGCGACATGATGCTCTCGTTCCCCGCCGGCATCGTCGCGGTCCTCGCGAACAATCCCAATCCGGCCAAGCTGACCTTCCGCGTACGGAACACCAACAGGCTGGAGCGACTGCTGCCGAACAGCCAGCTCATCAGCATGTGAGTAATCACCTCGGCGTGTATCTTCGAGGCTGCCGCCCGGTATTCGATGACGATGGCGAAAAGAACGGCCCGGTGCTTTCAGGGACGCGACGCAGACTACGGTCGACAGTACAATCTTCGAATTCAACATGAGTGCCTTAATTACGTTACTACGGCGGCAAGCTGAACAGAATCCCTCGGCCTCGTATTTCAACGTGGACATTCTCAAGTACCAAATCAAGTGCAAGGAGGGCGCCGGCTCCTGTCCTTTCCAGTTGGTCGCATATTGGAAGTGCGAGACAACCCACACCGATCTCAAGGTACGAGTTAAGGCCATTCTGCGATGTCCGTAAGCGTGTAACGTGATAAACTTGTAAGACGTAGTTTTAAAGGCCAGTGCCGTCGATATAGCAGGCTGTAACATAAGATCATAAGCGAAATGAATTATTTGGTTAGTGCATTCCTTCCATTTTCCAATCATCCTATAATGTTTACAAGCGCGGGCTCACGCAGCTGTTTGAACGGAATGAACTTTCGCACCGATCCGGTATTTTCATTTTTTTACAGCCGTGTTCTCACGGACATTGGTGGAATGCAATTTACAGTCCCTTGACAATCCCCCGATGATCTGCAAACCATTTTTCTCGCAAGCACCTCCGTCTGATCTCGTCTAATTGGTCTGATCGCCCCGCTAATCGAACCATATTCTGCTCTAGATCGATTATAAATACAACAGTCGCGCTATGGCCTCGTCGAGTCCTCTGCTGAATCTTCACGTGGCGGCGCCGATCGACGGCGGTTTCAAGTCGCTCAACAGCAAGCCACCGGCGCAGTGGTTGCCCGACTCGAATCGAGTGCTGTGGAAATTCACGGAGCTGTCGCAGCACAGCGAGGGTAACGGAGTCGGTTCCCTGAAGGCCCGGGTCGAACTGGAACACGGTCCGGGTAATCAGGGCACGATATTTACCCAATTTAATTGCGAGGGGACTACTCTGTCAGGCGTCGAGTTCGAGCTCGTAGGCTCCGGGTATAGATTGAGCCTGGTAAAGCGCAAATTTGTATCTGGTACGTAATATTTCCATCGATTAGGCAATTATTTCTTGTTTCGGATGTATTTTTAAGGGTTTTTTTTAGTTCAAAACCGTATTTATTTAACGTCAATCCTCAAAACTAACCGGAACGTCTAATAATTGCTATATTTTTTGTAGTTACTTAACAATCGCCTTATTTGAATTATTATCGTCGCTCCCGGGACGAGTTTAACCGCAGACGATGAATCATCAGGTCGAGCTACAAACATTCGATCATTTTAAGGCCGTGGCACACAGAAAAAGAAGTAAGAAAATTGACCAATCATAGTCGATTATTCTTCGACTGTATGGAGAATAATCAGCCGTGATTGGTCAATTTTCTTACCGCTTACGTTTTTCTGTGTGCCGTAGTCTTTCGATTTGGTATTCACCCAGTAATTTATTTTTCATTAACCCATTGAAAATGATATTTGTAAATAACTTAAATCAGCATTTAAAGTTATTTTTATATTCGCGATCGAGATTAGAATGATCGATATTAGAATTGTTAGACAAAGCAATAAACTAGTTACATTTGGGAGTAGAAATATCGCGAAAAATATAAAATATAAAATATTGTTTATTCAGTTTGTAGAAATCGTTTGTGCACGCAATGTAGATTCTTGTCGAGTGTCTAACGGAAGAAAACTCGAATCATTTCAGGTAAATACATATGCGACGGGGATTCAGACTCGCGTAGTAGATACGCCGCGCCGCCATCCAACGTCGATTGACGACTTCCAGAATGGGCGCCTCAGTGGGAGACTCAGCCCATTTAATACTGGTACTCGCTTAATCATTCACTGCCCATATCACGACTATCAATCGTTCATAGTCTGTACGCGTGTGGTGAAGGCTGTTGGATACCAAAGTGCGCGCTCGCTGAGGCTCAAATGGATCCTCCGTCGGCGAAAGTTGCGTTCGTGCGAGGAAGACAGACCGTATGAGCGAAGTAACGAGGCAAGGTGACGACGCCTTTTGCAAGCGGAACGTGTCTGGTCGATATTCTCTCCGTTTAGCCGGAACGCCGAACGTGGTCATCCGGAGGTCTCGCTTTGTATCGACGCGCGATATCCTATCTGTCTCGGCGAAAACGGTGACAATATTCCGGGGTAGGGGATCACGTTCGGCGTTAAACACGGTGCTCTGACAATATGGACTGATGTGATTTCGCGGCTAGTACGAGAAGCCATGTAAAAAAACAATTGAAGCGTAGATCCGGCTTGGCGAAGTCACGCGTTACCTGACGACGAACGAGACGTTCTACGTATGCGTTTTATATACAACCCGTATATTTTTTAATTTTTTATATCCGCGCGCTAGGGTGTTTTAATCGAGATTTACACGTTCGCCATCATCTTGTCACCGTGTTGGGTGACACGGTTTCGCGCAAAAGATCCTTTGGTGTCCAGCATACTTCCCCGCCCGCACGGTCTCCGCCATTCGATTTTGTCGACATAATCAAAATAGATCGCAACCGTGTTTCCTTTTCTTTTTTTTTCTCCGCGTCTCTCTCGTGTCTCAGTCTCGCTCTACTCTCCGGAAAAAAAGAAGAGTACAGCGCAACATTCGATCGTTCTAGACTTCCTCATTATTTTATAATACCGACGGTACATATTAGCGTACTACACTGTCAACAACTATTTGCGGTTGCAAAAGGAAAGCCGAAAGGACGTGGTGAATGTCATTTTTAAGTACGTATATGTATATTAGCATTTATACTTTGAACAGAAGGACGTGTTGCTCTCGCGAGCCTTTCGGCGGGGAGACCCGGTGTGTAGCGGCAGTTTTTAAGTTTATTTTCATAACGCGCGAAGCGAGAGTATTAATAGTGGCTCGTACGATGACACGATAAAAAACTGTCTTTTACCGCGTGAACTGACGAAAGCGAGCGAATGAGCGAGCGAGCGAGCGAATGTGCGAGTGAGTGAGTGAGTGTGAGAGAAAATTTAAATCAACGATACTTTTTTAAACGTAGCACGTTCGATGCGAGGCGAATCAAATACGGTTCTGTATTTTTGAACGTTTAAGGGCTAAAACAATTTCGATGTCGATAACAGGACTAGAACTCTACTAGATATAATATATAATATGTGTATATACATATATATATGTGTATATATGTATGTATATATATATACACACACATATAGCCCGGCGAACCGGGGAAGAGACGGAGTTGTTCATCATAAATGTTTCAAAACATGGGAGATTCTAGTATTATACGTAAACGCGCGCTGAAAGTTTCCTATCTACTTGCGATTTGTGGATATTCCGTTTTCTCGCGTCCACCAAGGACGCTCTCTCTCTCTCTCTCTCTCTCTCTCGTTATAGTTGTCACACACACACACTTGTTCACACTCGTCCACCATGGTCGTCTTTCGAAACGCGGAACGCGATCGACCTTTTCGAGATCGTTTACGTTACGAAGTATTATTATTATTATTGTTGCGAGACGTTTCACACGAAACATTGATTTTTCCCAGCATGAGCGCCGTGATTTTTCGCCGGACGGCGCGCTTAGGAACGGGATTCTTTGTTCGCGTCGACGATCGATCCACGTTAATCGATTACCGATCAATTGATTGGACGGTTGATTTTTGAATGTCTCTCGAATATTGGACGACGCGACTTGTCGGAAGATTTGCCTTCTTACTCTTTCTCCTCGTCTCGGTCTCGCGTGCGTCTTGGAGAATCGTATTGCCGGAACTACGAATACGTGCGACCGTGCATAGTTGGGCGAATCGGCCCAACGAGTCGTCGATACTGCTGTGCAATACGTAGTCGGATTCGAATGATTTCCGTTGCTCCGTCAAATTCACACACACACACGTATACACGTATACACACCTTCTTTCCCTGCGTTTTTAATTTAGACTAACCGCTGCAACCGGTGGCATTTCGTTAACCCATTGAAGGCCATATTTGTAAGTGACTTGAATTGACACTTAAAATTATTTTTATATTCGCGAGCGAGATTAGAACGATACCGATATTTTAGAATTGTTAGGTAGAACAATAGACGAATTGTTCTCGCGGAGAGAGCTTTAATTACATTTGGGAATACAGAGATGTATCTGAAGGATGTGAAAAAGGGGGTTTGTATTATTTATTCCGCTTGTACAAATCATTGTTCGTGTGAGACACATGATGAAAATGCTCGTCCCGAAAACGGAAAGAGAGAACGGGACGCTGGCGGCCGTTAAATGGGTTAAAACTCTCCTTTTCTCGAGAGAGCGACGTTTCGATCCTTCCCCGACGAGACGTTGCTCGTTTTCCAGGAGGTAATCAGGATCACTCGTGCGGTTTTTTTTCTCTCTCGTGTCTCGCGCACGAGAGAGACCGATTTTTTCGGATGCGTGTGCACGCATCGGCGCATGTATATATATAAGATTTACGAAATAATGTAACTCCTCTTAGTGGTCTAACTCGAATCGTACGAAGAAGAAGAAGAAGAACAGTCCGGCGCACACGATGCTTTCTTCCGTGTTTTAGGACGACGAGCGGCCGGGTGTAGAAAGAAAACGTTGCGCGTTACTCGCTGCCCTTCGGGTCTAAGAATTCGAATAACTTTTTCCCCCTCACTTGAAACTAAACTTAAACTATCTTCGAACTAATTGTTAACCGTAAGCTCGTTATTAGGTAGCGTCTCGACACAGTTGAGTCTAGCTTCTTCGAATTGACGGGCACTAAAGTACGCCAGGTCCTCTCATTGTAACGATTGTCGTTCGCAACAGACGGGACGTATCATTTTCTCACACTTTCCATCGCTTTAAAGACAGACATTACACCGGTAAGAGATAATTATTATTATTATCATTATCATTACTATTATTGATTATCATCAAATTATCAGCGATAATTCCTGCGATACTATTTGCGCCCCTCCTCCTCTCTCTCTCTCTCTCTCTCTCTCTCTCTCTCTCTCTCTCTCTCTCAGCGCGCCTGTTTGCCGAAATGACACGAGGACCTCACTTTCAAGATTATTTTGTTCCAATTGTACATCATGAAGAGAGGGGCGGCACAACAAGGTCTACGAAGAGCAATACGAAAACATCTGTAAAATATGACGAAATTAGCGACCACTCCATTCGAAATTTTTAATTTTGCCTTACAAAAATGACGAAATCTCGTTGGATGGATGCACCGGGGCGATTTTTTTACTTCGGTAAACTCGCACCCTTACGTTTCATTCGTCCGTCAACCCCCTCAGTTTTCAAGGTACGAGAGTTCACAATCAAAAAATTGTTCTCCACTGCGTAGACATTAGTAGTACGTTCTTGATGTTATCTATTAACGTGACATGCGATTCGTTACGGTTGCTTTTCTCTGGTTTCGCGTTTGACACGAGCGCGCGCGCGCGATGATGGAGTGGTTTCTGAAGAATCGACTGAGCTCTCCTGTGATACGCAGATGTCACCATATAATTTCGTAATAAACGTTTGTATTGAAACATATATATTATATATATTTTATATATATATATATATATATGCCTCATATAATATCTATATTTTCAATATTAGGTTCTCAACGAAAAATATAAAATTTGTTANGTATATATATATATATATATATATATATACTATATATTCAGCGTATCGTAATCGCGTTCCCGATTTTTTTCCCGATCGATCCCGGTGACGACGACGACAACGACGGTGGCGGAGAAGGTTTGGAGAAACGAGGAACACATACAAACAGACACACACAAAATACGCGTTCTCCTATTTCATCCCATACTGAATCACGAAGGCGACCTTGTTACGCGTATATACGTATATCTATCTTATTACGCGTGCGTTTGTACACATATCTCGTTTACAGATGATGATCCATAGCGAAGATATCATTGGACATTCGGTACGCTAAGAGAAAGAAGGAAACGGATCTGACTGTCGAGATGGAGAACTACCGTCGATTTTTCCACTGTCAATCAGACGTTTGCGATGTCACACATGTGTTATCAGTTATTAGTAGAATTACGAAAAAAAAGGTGAAGTGTATTTTTGCTAACAGGTCATATTTCTCTGAGGTAAAACGGGGCTTCTTCGTTGATAACGGTAACCGTGGTCGCAAATAGTGCTCGTAGACTGTCGTCGTGATGCAAATAACACGTGTATCGCGAGGTCACATCGCGGTAAATATCACCCACGTTATCAGCTGCTCGCGTTTTTAGTCTTCGCACGAGTGCGAATTCATTCGATCGGAGCTTGCTTACGGGCGACAAACGGTTCTCTCGGGGAGCTTCCGCAAAAATTACGTCGCATTTCTCTCGTCAAGGAACTTTCTCGATCGAGCTCATTCCTTCTTCTCTCAGCAGCCCGATTCAATTTGGAAAATTGGAGATTGAGAAACCCCGAGCGATTCAGTCGAGGTCGCGCGGAGGATCATTTGGCTATAGTTATGCGAGAAGAATCCAATCTGCATAGAGTACGTTTCGAGAGAAACGAAGATGAAAATTGTATACATTATTCAAAAAGTATAAATAGCACTGGAGTACTTCACGATCGTTCAAAAAATCAAACATGATCCATTTTTTTCTCTTCAAGGATATTCACTGACGAGCTAAGCCCTTAAAAAAATGGGTAAAAAATACGTAACTAATAAAAATTGACATAAATCTTGGTCAGAAAGTAATAATGTTTCTCAATTAATTTTAGGCAATTTTTTAATTAATTTTAATTAATCTTTAAAATATAAGACTTAAATCTTTCAGTTGTACGTAAAAAGATAAAATCTCAAAAATCATAATCTTGTGGGTTGAATCCTTCTTGCATAACCATAGCCATTTCGACGTCGCCTCAGAAGCCGCGAGATCTCGGAGAGAGCGTGGAATACGAGTTTCTGCACTCTCTCTCTCTCTCTCTCTCTCTCTCTCTCTTCGACAACCTTCACCTTGCTCCTCCCGAATCGTTCGCGTCTTATCGGCGATCTGGCGAGTGCGTCTCTCGCTGTTTGTCCCGCGATTACGACGACGCAGGACGGACAGGTCGGCCGTTTGTAGGGGCGAGATGTAGCAACACCGGCAACGGTGTTAGTGGCGACCGGTACATACGCACGCTTAATCGACGGAATTGATTTATAAAGAGAACGTATAAAGTCCAACATCGTGTGTACAGGGCACCGTGTGTAATAAATAAAGAGAAGAGGCAGAAGAAGATGATGATGATACATGCGTGCGGCCGCTGCACGCGGCTGCAACGCGGTTGCGTACACGAGTAACTCTTATACATAGTATAAATACGAGAAATAAATTAAATAATGCGATCATACACACATACATACATACACACACGCACGCACGCATACACACACATATAAACACACATGTTGCGCGATGCATAGCGTGATTATGTAAACCTGTTGACATGTAATGTCCATGTTCTAATAAAGATTTAGAATATTTTCTATAAACAGTGGTGTCGCAGCAGCGACGATCGCAGGGTATTCCATCGTGTGCCATCATTGCGTTATTGCTTAATAGCGAATTCGATCACCCGCGTTACACCGGATTGGTGCATGCTGAAGGCTGAATGAAGCGGTTGATTATATAAGAAAATATATGTAAACATTTTGAACGATTAAACATCTAATAATGATATTTTCATGTTATTTATACATTATTTCATCATCAAAGTACTTACGATACGCCATTGTACTTGTATACTTTATGTGTGTAGTGGCCTTCAGTGTGCGCTAATCCGGTGTAGTGCGAGTGATGCAATTCGCTGAAAGTTTTCGCGAACTTGGTGCATTCTAAAATTAAATATCGACCGACTCTCGCGGAAGTGCACGTTTCAAAACATCACACTGGTCTTATGACATAACTTATCGTCGTTATAAATAATCGCTGAAAAATTCCCTCGAGTTTCCGGCTCAATGGACCAGCCATTTCATCGAGAAAGCGATGCAAACAGCACTGCTACGCTGTCGCGAAAACTTGCGCAATCGGTGTTATCATCTTCGCTTCTTCCTCATGAAGATTCCCTCAGTATATATCTCAGCGTCTCGTCTTCCTTGAAGCATTGGATCAGCGCGTCCTCGTACCTAAATGAACAGAAATATGTCCTGGTTGATCCGTACAGTTCGTAGGAAAAAAGATAACGTTAAAAGGAGCGCGATCCAATGTCTCTTCAATTATTAGACGTTTCGGTTAGTTTTCAGGGTTGACGTTAGATGCAGAAATTCACTTACTGCCAGAAAAATGAGGAAAAATGTTTAACAAGCGATGGAAAATATCTTGATTGAAATACAATGTATCGTTATTTTTTTTTTTTTTAACAAATGCGGTTTTGAGCCCTTTTGAAAAAAGGAAACCCTTAAAATTAGCCAAGGCCCCCTAATACTTTGTACTTTACCTGGAAGGTATTCGAGTGCCCTTCTGTGGAACTGTACCCAACCAGCGGACCCTCTTCAGCATGGTATCCGCCACCACCCTCTCATACTCTAAGTACTTCTCGTCCCGGGTGAACCACAGCGCCACGGCGCACCTCTTGCCGCCACGTACAGCCCGCACACCGTGAAGATTCTCACCACCGGCGGAGAATGCCACCATACGTCCACATCGGGGCTTTACAGTGCTTTGAACCCGATGTTCCTTCCGCTCGTCGACGAAAAAGAACTCGCCGCCGTCGAAGTCGTCGTTAAGGTACAGGATCGCCGAGTAGTCCCGCCAGGTGTACGCGGGACTTTCCCGCACGCAGGAGCTGTCATTCTTTATCAAGCAATTATCAGCGTGTATCTGGTGACTGAGATCCATTCGATTCGCCGGCGCATCTGGAAGCGAACGATCCGAGTGATAAGGTGGGATCTTTTCTCCGTTATCCTCCTTGTGATGGACATGCATTGTTCCGGGAAACGATACACCGAAATGTAAAAAGTGGAATAATCTCTTGGAAAGTCATAGTACCGAAATATGAAATTGAAGGGCTCGATGCAAAAACCGTGTGTCTTTATGCAAACGGCAAACTTGCTTTCGTTTAACAAACGGATTAATTTGTACATGCCGTACCGACTGTTACGATGCGAGCATGTCATCGAAAGCGATCGGAAGGATGCGTCAGGTGAAAATTACCGGGTAATGCCGTTCGGCAGACCAAATGGGTGTAGGTGAAATACAGTTGTTGATCAAGGTCGAAATACCTTTCCACGTGATCGCGAGCTGCCTCTGTGTGTCGCAACAACAGTTCCAGCAGCTCCGGCTTCGTCAGACCGAAGTATACCATCTGCAACGAGGACAGCGAGTGCTGAGATCAGCTATCAGCCATTTTTACCAAAAGTTTCCTCTCAGGAAACGTTTCACACGTGAGATTCCCGTCTCACTTTCTAATGAACGTTAACTTTGCTCCATGCGAATAATTCTTACCAATGCGGCTCTGCCGACAGTCACGCCTTCGAAGCGCTCATAGGGCGAATGCGGACTCTTATTCTCCTCGTAGCCGTCTCCCTCCACAGCAATCTGGAATTTGCGAATTCGATAGAAACGACAAAAATAAAATCAACGGAAATGTTTTCATGGAGAAGAACAGCTTACACTGAGACTTCACTGAATTTGGACAAGGTGAATGTTCCAATTAATGACAGTGTTCCCAATTCACGACAATTACATACAGTTCGAAATAAATCTGATATACTTAACATGTATGAACTATCATAATAATTTATGAATTTATTTTCAAGGTTACTTCGTCACTAATTGTGCGGGATTGCATTCACCTTACTGGAACAAAGAAGAACTGATTCGTCGCTGTATCGATTCAGCTAAGGAAACAACACCTGAGCCAGTTGCGTGAGCAGATCGCACTCGGTCGAATTGAGAAAACCGTCGGCCACGTAACGATTTCTTCCACCGAGCTCGTTTTCCGCTGCTACCAATCGCACGTCATCTTTCTGCGCGACTCGGTCCCTACGCGTTTCCCTTTCTTCCTCCTTATCCCTTATCGCCGATAGATTTCCCAAGTATTGCATCCGGATATCCGGAGAATGGCCCGGGGGAGGGTGCAGGATCGATCTTGCGAGAGAGTTCTGCGAAAGAAAGTCACGAGTGAGATGGAGGAGGGGAGCGGTATTCGCAAGTAGCGCCTGCATTCTGCGTAGTTCTAAGCGCAGAAGCAAATAGGGTTGCATTGAAACGGTCGAGCAAACGGAGGCCCCCTCCTGGTGAAGACTTATCTGTTGTGCGATAACAGATTTGAAGTCGAATATCTCATTTCAAGTTCTGTCAATGCGTCAAACGGTAGTCTGATATTTCTTTATCCGCAATGAAAGAATAATAAAATATTTCGGAGTATTTTATTGTTCCTCGAGTATATACACAGAGAGCAGAGGGTAATCTTAGTGTTAAAACTAATGGCAGTGCGTCGGGACGCAGTCCGATCATTTTCAAACGACTGGCTTAAGCACGATATCCGATGGTGATGTTTATGCGCGCATCATCCTTCGAACAGAAAATTCCAAGAGAACAGTAAAAAGAGTTCCTCACGCTTGCTATTCTGTCGACGCGCGATCGCACGTGGATTGGCTATGCCTCATTCTTTACCTTTCCCAGTTCTTTCTCTTCCTTCCCCTCTCCCTTCTTCTTCTTCTTCTTGTCAGTCTTCTTCGCCTTATTCTTCTTGGAGAATGCGTCGAACCTGGCGTCGATCACTGCGAACTCTTCCGATATGTAATGCAAAAGCATCAATTCGTATTCTTGCCTCTTCACGTAAACAAGCGCCTCCTGGAAGAAACGGCCTTCGTTGACTTCGCAAGTTTATTAAGACTTCTGGGACGAATATAGTTGCACAGGTCAGGAGAAGGAATTGAAGAAACTTATCACGACTTCTCCGTTCAAGAGACTGTCCAAATCTTGAGAATCGGGTAACTTCCCAATAAGCAAGAAATCATTAACGCAACGTTATTATAATTTGTTATAATAACGTATTTTATAACACGTAACGTCTTATGTAATTCTTAGCGTTGTATACAACGTCATTGTTGATAATATTTGACCGAGACACATTGAAAATATTTCCACATTATAATTTTAATATCTAGAAATATTATGTTATCAGATAACAATTTAAAAACATTTATACAATATTATTTCAAAGTGTCCGAAAATCCACGTAAAATCCACATAAAAAATGTTTCGAAAGAATGATATAATATTTCTTGCTTGCTGGGTTGATTTTAACCTACCTGTCTTGGCGTAAAGTATTCATCCGTCACCTTCGGCTGGGCGCTATAGTAATCCTTATTGTGAAGCATCGTCTCATCCGCGGGTAAAAATAACAAGTAACTCGCAACCGCTGCGCAGGCTGCTCTCAAATTACCCACTGTTCACAAAATAAACGGTAGGTGTTACTTTTAATTGCATGCAGAAATGCATGTATGACGTCTAATTAACTGCATCCTATGATACCGCTACTTTGTAATCTTCTCTCGGAGAGAGAGAGAGAGAGAGAGAGAGAGAGAGAGAGAGAGAGAGAGAAAGAGAGATATATATATACATATATATATATATATATATCTGTTATCGGTCTCAATCGTAAGGCAATATCGAGCTACTCACACTTGTAATAAGCAAATTGCAAGTAATTGTAATGGCTGCTGAGCAAATTGCTGCGATATTCGCCGTTCACGCTGTTCAAGCCGAGGGAACAGCCGCGCTTGCACTTCAGACAGAAGGCAAAATGATCTGGAAGAAATGATAGATGACAGACGCGGGGTAATATCGGTCGTTATCGAAGATTACGAATCGAATCGCGCGTCTCACTCGCTACCGACGAAGTGAACTCGGGATACCATCCTTGGTCGAACGGGCCCTCGCAGTAAATCCGGCACTCCTCCTCGGATTCTATGTAAGACTCGAGGGAGGTCTCGAATTCGCCCACAGCCTCCTTGTAATTCTCATCCTCGTACGCCTGAACTCCCCGGACGTACGTTTGGACGAAAGGGGCCGCCTCCAGATTCACGACCTTCTCCTCGACTACGCCAGGCAGGGTCAGGTAGTGCTTGAGATTCCTTCTGCTCATTTCGTGCTCAGGATGGTAGGTCAGGAAGGTGAAGGCCGCGTTCGCTGCGTCTTGATACTGTCCTTCCTGCAACAAATTATTTACGACTATAATTATCATTTTATATCGCATCAGCCGGTCATTTCGGACGAAAAGTTGCGTTTCAATTGATTTATCGGGTCGATGCAAAAGTTCGTCCCGTTTTCCAATTGGTCCTTCGCGCAGAAATTCTAGAATTTTGTCGGACAGTTACCAGAGAGGTGGAAAGCAGATCATCGAACAAAATATTTAATTGGTGGCGCATATTTTTAATTGGTGGATTGCGTTTTAAAATAAATAAATGTTATATGTACATTTTGATTTAAAAAATGGAACGAATTTAATCGCATCAACCCGATAATTCAATTGACTCGCCTTGTGACCGCAGAGAAGTGATTTTGTCGATTCGGAATAAATAATTTTTTTTCTTTTTCAACTAAAATGTTTTTCAAGGCTTCTGCAGGTTTATCGGGTTACGAGCGATATCACGCAAATCAATAAATGTATATGCATTTTCTATTAAAAAACGGAACGAACTTTTGCATCGACCCGATAATTCAATTAGCTCGCGTTCATTTCACGAGTAAATACGCGTGTGCAATTCTCATCTGCGACCACGGAGAATTGACTTTATGAAATGGATCGTTTTTTCTCTTTCCACTGAAACGTTTCTCAAGACATCTGCAAGTTTATCGGGTTACGAGTGATTATGCGAATCTTCCAAAATAGAGCCGCGCTATCTAATAATTAAGACGACGATGCGTCATCTCGTCATCGCGGGTCAAGCCAGAGTCGTTAAAGCGCGGGCGTAGCGCGCCAGTTACGTCGAAATTGCGTAATCTGCCAGATTAGGATTTGGTAGAACGTATATATTTTCGTGACGCTTCGTGAATTTTCCGCGAGCGAGCAGTCGCTCTTTTCTTCGCCTCTCTTGTTCCCGCCGTTCCCTTCTTTCCATTTCTCTTTCCATTTCCCTTTCTTCGAAGAACTACGATTTTTACGACGCAAACAGGAAACTGCATCAGATGCGACAGAGTGATCAACCGAGCGATGACGTAATTTTTTCCTAAGCTGAAAACGTGAAAAGCAAACATTTCCAAATGCTTTCGAATTGGGAGATTTCCACTTTTCACAAGTTCGTGCTAGAGGGGAAAATTCACAATCGACCATCAGAAGGTCATAAATCTTGTCCTCTAGTCTAAGTTTGTAAAAAGTGAAAATTTTCAAATTTGAAAGCATTTGGAAATATCCACCTTTCACGTTTCCGCCTTAAGGGGAAAATTGCGTGATTCCTGTCCAGGTTTCAATCCGAAAAAGTTGAAAAACGCTAACGATAATACACAACAGATCGGAAAAGTCCTGTACGCTTCGATTTCGCTGAGACGGTTTTTCATGAAAAGAGGGAACGTTGCGACGCACACGAGATACGTTCGTGACTTTATTTCCCTACCTGAAAATAGCAGATGTGAAGATACTCGTAAGCGACGTGATCGACGAATTTCTTCTCGATGTGGCGTGGGAGCCGTTTAAGCGCCCCCGCGCCCGCGATCTCTCGGTAATCCTGATTGCACTTCATCAGGCAGAGCGTCTCCCGCACTTTCCTTTCGTAAAAATGTAGATCCTCGATGTCCTCGGCAAAGACCGGCGAGGAGCCCGCCGCCTCCGTCTTGCACTTTCGCCGGCAGATCGTCACTATACGTTTGTACTTCTTGTATCTGCAAAGCGTNATATATATATATATATATATATATAGTCTCGCATAACTAACTTTTAACTTCAATAATTTATTTTATTCAATCCTGATAAATATAAGTAATATAAAAAAGTCCATTACAATCTTACCATTATAACTAGAATTACTTCTGCAATTTCCAACCTTACACGTTATATAAAACTGAAAATCATGTAACTTTCCATCTGGGTAATGTATACAATATATGCATGACGCTGACCGTATTTCTCGACGAAAATTCGCCTCGTAGTGCTTCGAACAGCCGCCGACAAATCCGCGAAATGTATGCGCGCGCACACACGAAAACGACTGGCTCATCGCCGGAATTGTACGAATTTGAAGCGTGCTCAATTTGCTTCATGACTTATTACAGTGCCGCAAGGCCGATATTTGAAGTCAAGGCTTCAATCATTTCCTTGCCGCATTTATGCGAGATCCGTGAGAATCGCGTTTCATGACTAGCGCGTCGCGACGCAGTCCACCTTCGTGGATCTTTTGCCGCCGTCTTCGTCGTCGTCGAAGAGAAAAGGAAAGAAAAAGAAAAGGAAAAAAAGTGCTACATTTAAGTAAATATTTATGCTAAGGAATATTGAAACAATTATTTTACATGAATTAAGTTACAGTTTTGGAACCTCGAAAAAAACCAGTTTTTTTTCTCACTTTTCAATGGATTTTTTGGTTTCCATCTCGAGGATAGAAAAATTCTAAAGAAGAAGAACTCCTTAAAACTCGATGAAATTGTTGACGACTCGTTTTACCTGTCAAGTACCGATAACGGTAACGAGTTATTTTTTTCAGTGGATAATGAGTTACGGTAACGCGTTATATATATTTTTTTTCAATGTATAACGAGTAACGGTAACGAGTTACCTTACAAAAGTAGCTTTCCCAACCTTGTGTATAATTTCACTCGGCCCGAACAAAATAATTACTCCAGTACTTTATAACAAATATTTACTTGATCCTTGCACTTTTCTCCTTTCAGCCTGGGTGACCGAATTCGTTGTAATGTAATTACAATTCAACTTCGCTCGCCATCACGACGGGTAAAGTCAGCGTCGATCGAGCGACATGCGCGCCGGGGGATCGATATATCGAGCGCTCGATAAGTAAGTAAGAAAAAGAACAAAAGGAGCGGCGGGACGATGTTGCCGAGGATGATCCGCCACGTACCTGTAAAGAGCCTCGTCGAAGCCGCCGATGCAGCCGCGCCAGTCCTCATCGAGGTACGCCTGGGCCGCGTTCTCGAAGAGCTCGCCGAGTGGAGTGTCTTGCGCGGCTTCCTCGCGCATGTCTGCGCCAACTTTGTCGTCGTCGATCTCATTGGTCTCGATCGTCACGTCGGCATGGCATGCGCCGAATAGAAGCACGAGCGTAGCAACGATTACGAGGAACCTCATCTTCTGCTCTTCTTTCTGTCGACGGGCCGTCGTCTGGAGCCGCACTGACGGCGACGCGCAAGCTGCACGCCCGCTAAAGCTCGGATCGCTTACGCGTAGATCGGATGTCGCACGCACGCACACACGCGCGCACGCACGCGCCCGCCGAGCGTGCCGTGTAGATCACCATGGTACAGGGCGATTCACAAGAAGCCGCAACGGCGAGGACGCCAAACGCTGGATCCTCCGGAGGCGATGATCGACCGAGGCGGATCGAGCAGTCGCCGCGCTAAAACGCTATAACACTTCTAATACTGAGATGACTTTATCGCTTCGCCGATGTTATGGACGTCGTCGTCGCGAATGAATGCTTATTTCCAGATGGAACATTCGGCTGTCCCGCTCCACCGAGCAGAAGCCGGTTTTCAGTAACCCACCGGCGAACGGATCGCACGATCGCCCGGCAAAGGCTGGATCTACAATAACTGTAATATCCCAGAAAACACCAGCTAACAGTAATACCGCATCAATTTTACGATTTCTCACTCGGCAATGTGAGTGCAATGTAACATGCGTTGTATATAACAGTTGCATTGTTGAGTAAGAAGTTATAAAAAATTGTTGTAATGTTTTATATAATTGTTAGTTGGTACTAACAATAAGAGCTTAGACAACATGTAAGGAATAAAGAACAAGTAATCAAATATAGGGATTTAGGAATAAAATATAATTTAAAACATAATAAAAAGAATAGAGGATAAGATATAAGGATGTTTTAAAACGAGGCCACTCCTTTTAATGTTTTATTCCCTGTCTCCAATTTCCTACACAGAGAAAATATTGTAGCAAGAATTACCACAAAATTTTGTAATGCCGCGCCATACCGAAATTATAACTGAAATGATGATACGTATTGTAATCTTTAATGAAATATATCTCACTGTACGCATCACTAAAGATTACAACACACACAATAATTTCCGTCACAATTCCGATGTGGTCCAGCATTACAAAATTCTGCGGTAATTCTTACTACAATATTCTCTTCGTGTGTATCTAATTCCTCATTCCTTTCATTGTGTCTGAATCCTCACATTACAACAATATTATAATTCCCCACTTAATAATGTAACCGTTACATACTATGCATATTACGTTGCACTTACGTTGTCAAGTAGGAAATTACGACGTCGATGTAATATTACTATTGGTGGGTGTTTACGGGATGTGCCTGTTACGTCGCTATCAGCTTTCACGGAGCGTAACGGATCTCGACGTGGACGTTTCTCTCGGCGACGCGTATCTTGTTCCTGGCGCGACACCTTCGCGTGTCAAATAATGCAGATGGAGTCGCCGGGCCCGGACGTTTCGTTGGCACCGGACGATCAAGTGACGTATTGCATTACTAGTCGTTGAAGAACAACGGGATTGCGCTGATAGTGAGTAAGGTCGGCTGGCGAATCAAAGGGACAGACGGGTCGAGGCATATCATTGGCATTTATACAAATCCGAATCTTGTTACAATCACACTCAAGTACAATCTCGTTTGCATTCGTAGTGGATACAGAGGAAAGTACGCACACGTGACGCCGACGCTTCGTTCCAAGCTGCCGAATGCGCGCTGCGACTCGGGGAGGCCGAATATTCGGACGTTCGGGGGAAACCTGCGCTGCGTGTGACCAGAAGAAAGGGAAGAGAAAAGAAAGAAAAGAAGGTAACAGCTTTTACAGATATAGCAACACGCTCGCCACTCGCTCGCTCGTTCGTTCACTCGTTCATTCGTTCGCTCGCTCTTCTTCTTCTTTTTCTCCAGCTATAAAATCACAACCGACGGTAAAGGGTAACGAAACGATATATCGGAAGCTTCAATGCGAGAATGAAAATAAGTACACAATTATTGTTAGTACCCAATTCGTCCATTTCGTCCAGGCTCAAAATCACATCTAAAATGGATTTCTCTTTGCCCCCCCCCCCCCAACAGACCAATCATGGACTTATCTCATTCTTGAACCGAATTCTTCAAACTCTCAACAACAAAACTATGCGGAACACGCGTCTCCCTCGTTTCCCGCGCGTCCACTCGAACTCATTCAACGTCCGAGGGAAGTCTCACGCACAAACAAGCACACACGATTCGAATTCGCCCTCACGCACTGACTCGACGTGTCGCCCACGACGATTACGACGATGACACGCGCTCCAGGTGCGCTCTTAATGTCTACACAATTGGCTCTTGCGAGAACAAATTCGCGTACAATACTAAAAGTCGGAGCCGTATCCTTCACCCTAACTCGGCGAAACGACAGTCTCGGCATAAACGTCACTTCGGCTGCTCATCTCGCACGTGTAGCCTCCTCGCGATAGAGTGTGAAAAACATATTCATTTCCGACCCGCTGGAGATTCGATTATCATTTCGGGGGTTCTCTCATTCTTACGGCTCGCCGTTATACCGAGAGTCTGTCGTTGCCGATATCAGTGTGTGTGTGTGTGTGTGTGTGTGTGTGTGTGTGCGCGTGTGCGTGTGTGTGTGTGTGTGATGTAGCTTACGTATCTAACATGACAACGGAAACAGCTCTCTCTCTCTCTCTCTCTCTCTATGAATTCGAAAAAAAATAACAAATAATGGTCTCGTCTACGATACAATAATAATAATAATGTACAACTCATACACGCGCGTTGTTACGACATAGTCTACGAATAACATTAATTATTCCATATCATTATGCGAGACTTGATACGCGGGAACACCCAGCGTTCCTTCGAAATCTTAGGACTTCCTGATTACAACGTTCGTGTCGTCCCTTCGAGAAAATCGCGCTACGATACGATGGAGTGCGATTTTTGTTATATTTTGTTAGGTATATCTACGTATTTTTCCTCTGTTTCTCATTTTTTTTTCTTTTCGCTCCCCGAGTAACGAGGTGACGTCAAGTGGCGTCTCAATGACGTCTCAATGACGTTAGAGAGACGCCACTGAGACGTCACTCGAGCTACTCGGGTCGCGATACTAGACCGAAAAACCCCCGAGAGAACTCGTTCTCTCTCTCTCTCTCTCTCTCTCTCTCTCTCTCTCTCTCTCTCTCATACATCACAACGGGGAAGCTAAAGCCGTTTTTCAACATAATTTAACAACAATGGAAATGAGTTGATCGACGACGAATTGAGGCTTGAAATTTTCCATCGAAAATATCACCGCCAGCCGGCAAAGGAAGGCCGAAGAAGAAAGGGAGAGAAAAAAAAGAACACCTCCGTTTCGTTCGCCCCACCTCGCCGTAATAATAAATAAAGTGTATGGCTCGCGACGTTTTCAGGAAACTTAGCCGCATCTTAGACGCGAGAGCTTAACGCAGTAACGATTTTCACTTAAGACTAAAAACGGACGTCAATAATATCAGCGATTCAACAACATACACAATGCGCAAAAAAGAAAATGTACAAACACGACGAGACGAAGAGCTGCGAGTGTCAATTCGCCGAGCTCGATGCTCGGTGTTCACTGAAGCAGCATCGCCTCCTCGATAACGAGTCGCTCGATACATCAGTTCGATTAGCGTGGCTCCACGCGGTGGTGAAGCGATAGAGATTTCTCGGACGACGACGCGTTCAATCTGTCGCGCGTGTTCGAGCGGGTGAGAAATCGCGGGATCTCGCGGATTCTTCGTTCGGGAAGAACCGGAGATTATTGTTCGAACCCGGTTTGAAGTACGAAACTCGAGTGCACAAGCGCGCGTGCGCGGTACCGAAGTCGACGATATGCGCGGTGGGAGGAGGGAGGGTCCACAAAGCCGGTTCCCGGTTTCCTCTGAATTTGATTTTAGAATACCGAAAACGTTCTATTGTCGTAAGCTCCATTGAATCCGGCAATTTTAGCCCAAATCGATATATTTCGACGTCTGTTTATCTTATAACTCCAATTAATGCTTTTATATGTCACCTATGTATTATTTCTTTTATATTTGTGCGTGTGTGTGTGTGTGTTGTGTGTGCGCGCGCGTCAGATGGCGATCAACGTATTTTGAGAATATACAGAATATGCTTTTTGTGGGTACATTTGTAGTACAAGAATCTTGATAATAAAAGTATTTAAGCGTAATGTTATTATATATACACACACACGCGCACACATACAAATATAGGGAGGTGTGAGAATGTAGACGACATAAAGAGCGTTAATGATAAAAATTGGGATTAATCGGAATTACTCGGTTAATTAGGGGAGGAAGGCGTCGAAATACTTTCGTTTCGGCTAAAATCATCCGATTTCAATAATTCTTCTACGATAGAACGTTTTCGATACGTTGGAATGAAATTCAGAGAGAGCCTGAAAACAGGCCCGATGAAGCCTCCTCCATTAGAAAAAGATCCCGCGGAGAGAAACTACGATAAAAAAACGCGGGACCGCAGGACGTTCCGACGGTGCAAGCGTGCTTCAAGCTGCCGCTTCGACACCGCGCGATTTCTTCTTCTTCTTCTTCTTCTTACGTACAATAACTAGTCCTTACGTCTAGAAGCTTAACTTTATCGCACGCTGAACGTGTCGTTTTATTGAACTAATGAGCAACGTGGACATTTAGAGTAGACTTTATCGCTATGAGCAGTGATTACGTCGTGGTACGCGCTAACATTTGTATAATCGGACGGACTGTGAAAAAATAAAAGAAAGCAGGAGGCTACATATAGTTAAACAGAGAAAACCGGCGCCACACACTGTTGCCGAGATGCGCTGTACCGATTTCCGAATTCTGCGACGACAGGCTGCGCAGACTTGTGTCGATCGGCACGATACGCGTCTCTCTATTAACGAATAGAGTCTGTGCGACGCACCTTTGCGTCTCGCTCACGGGGAAAAAAGAAGAAGTAGCTCCCACAGTTAAAAACACTAGCACCCCACAGGTAAAAATCAGCTGTCCATACGACACAACCGAAATTTCGTTAATTCAAAGCAAATTATTTTCGCCCTTATATCTAGTTTTTAGCTCCTACAGCTAAAAATTGAATCACCGCTATATCATATGGACAGCTAATAGCACTTTTCGCTGTGCTGATGGCCGCTAATTCCGCGATTCTATCGACCGAATAGAACTCACGATTTTGTCAGCGACGGTTGATTTATTAATAAACAGCTCCACTAATGTTGAGTTCGACAAATATACGGCAATTTTACAAATGTCAGCACGTACGAGTACCATCGAGTTTCTGTTACACGGCGACGTTAAGCCGGTTTAGTGATAACTGTAGTTAATGAGCTCTCTTACGTCCCATTGGTGTATTCTTTTGAGTCTAAAAGTATGCCCCAATCAAACACAAGGGTTCACTAACCACGGTTTACTAAGCTCCGATCTACAATAGTATTTTAAGCCTTAAGCCTTAAGAAATTGACCAATCACAATTGATTATGCCTTTATAACTCGTTTGTAATTGGTCAATTTCTTACAGCTCAAAGCTTACCACACCTTTTGCAGACTTAAGTTAATTTGGATTAACATTGCCGTGTAATGCCCGTTTCCACCATCACGATTTCGAAATCTAATCGACGATTCTAACTCAACGGAATTCGCCAATCAGTCGACCAATCTGGCATTGGCCAATTGGTTGACCGATCAGTAGGCGATTGGCCAATTCCTTCGGGTTAACCGTCGATTGGATTTAAACCACGATGGTAGAAACGAGCACAAATGTAGTTCATGATTCGACGAACGAACTGATCAATTCTCAGCTTATTCTGATCATCATCGTGCTGACAGAGTTGCGACGAAATATCGAGTATCGCTCACGATGCGAACGAATTGTACCTATGGCAGAGACGAAGCTCACTCTTCGGTGCTGAAGCAAAAAAGTTACTTTCTGTTTAACTCTCAGTTTTCTTTTGTTTTCTTCGATTTGCTTTATTCGTTGACGCGCGATAGTGAGCGCGATAGTGAATTCAAATTCGATCAAGTACAACACAAAAAGATGTAACGAAACACTAATATATTCTCTGAAAGCATTCTCTCGACTCTCGTTGACGTTATTATACAATATCATATATCTATATACAATAAATTAACAAAGTGAAACTAATGATACATATATATGTATATATATGTATAATACTAAAACTTCAATGCATTGCGGCGTACCGAGCTTCAACCTTCCATATANTCTCTCTCTCTCTCTCTCTCTCTCTCTCTCTCTCTCTCTCTCTCTCTCTACCGTCTGAATTATGCAAGATGCTTCCGCGCGGCGATAAGTGTTTGATTCTGCTGTGCTAATGAACAAGTACCTGTTTACCCCTAATTGACCTATATGATGTAACGTCGTTAAGCAGTTACACGCGACGAGATACCTGAGTTATGCGAATGTGCAAACACTGATTGCATCTCTCCCCGTGACACGGCGTATATATCTCATTGCTCTTTCTCTCTTTGTAATTTCGATTATCTCACGACAACGGAATCATCTTGTGTACAAATTATCGCAAAAAAATACCTTCGTATATTCTTCTCTCCTCCTCCCCCTCACCGGGAAAAAGTAAACACCCTATAAAATTAAACCGTACGCGAGATAATATATACGAGCCATATCGAATACTATATCGACTATATATTTATATATGTGAACATGAATGAGTATGTGTGAGAGAGTTCCTCTTGTGTGTATGTGTGAGCGTATGTGTGCACTAATATTAGATATAAATGTAAATGAGATCGTGTAAATACTGTAGCCCGAAGCATAACTTCACACTTCACTTGAATCGCGTCTCACTTGCTGGGGGTAACGACTATGTATGCCGTTTCCGTGTGTGGATTTCGAGTTAGTAACTTTACGAATATTTGCGTTTGTGTAGACACAATCAAAATAACGTATCTCCCGAACTCGCCTGTTATATCTGTTTGAAAGTTCTCGTTTATGCGGTCGTTACGTCTTGCATGACAAACGTTTTACCATTTTTTTTTTTTTACGGAAATAGTTAAAACCTCTCGGAAATATAGGTATCTTAATCGCTTTCAGGTATTTGTTTGACGGAAGCCTATAGATTTGAATATAGAAATTTCATAAAGCTATAAATTCAAAATCTACCACCTCTCTCTCTCTCTCTCTCTCTCTCTCTCTCTCTCTCTCGCCTTTTCCCTCGCTCTCTCCCACTCCCTTCTTCTTTTTTGATTAGTCTCTCGTGTCTCGTACGATCATTGGATACATCTTACGATCTACACCTCTTCCATCTTGAACCGCGAAGGATGATCTCTTGCTTCTCATGTCGCGTTTGATTAACACATACAGGTATCTAATCAAAAAAACTCTCCGCTGCGCATACCCGGCCGGTGCTCTTCCTCTACCTCTCTTCTTCGTCACGCCGGCATTAATTGTTTTTCTTGTCTTTCCCCAACGGAGCGGCGCTCTCGTGCGTGCTCGAGTGAGCAGCGTCGGTGGGCTCGACCTTATGTTTCTTTAGTAGCTTCCTGGCGTCCTGGTGAGCCTCTATGTTGCCCTTGGCGGAAGCTTTCTGCTCGGACGCATGCGTCTTATGCGACGACGACGACGTGGTGGGCTTTTCACCGGCATGACCGTGTCTCTGGTCCGCGTTCTTCTGCGAAGTCGCGGCGTGGTGGTGCGCTTGCTGCGCTGAAACGACACCTGCGGCGGCCTGAACGCTGCTCTCCTCCTTCTTGCTGACCTGCGACGCCTTGCTGCCCTGGGACGACGGCTTGCCGTCGCAGCGCGCGTCGCTCTTGCCAGCCTTCTCCGCGTCTCCGGATTGGCTCGTCGATTGCTTCTCGCTCTTCTCGCTGATCTCCTTCGACGTGTAGTCGTCACCCTTGCTGCCGGTCGGCGAATCCTTCTCCTCGGCTATCCGCGGCAGCTGCGTGCCCGCGCATGAGTTCGACATACCCACGTTGCCCAAGTTAATGGATATACCGTGGGTCAGCTTAGAGTAGTCCGCTTTCTGCTCGCTTGGCACTTTCTTCTCGCTCTTCGCGTCACCGGCCTCCTTGAAGCCGTCGCTGGCCTCGTCCGGCGCCTCGCTGTGGGACGACTGCGCGATGGTCACGCGGGGCGTCACCTTCACCACAGTGTTCGCCAACGGCGATATCGACGTTTTATTCTCCGCCGAGCGCGGGTGCAGCCGGTCCGGGCTGAGGGCGCGCCGGAGCAACGGCGAGCCCGGCTCCGCGGACTTGGGCCGGCCGTACCCTTTCTTCTGGCTGTTCGGCGTCGACAAGCACACACCTGTGAACGAAGTTCTTCACTTTATGAGTATATTGCGCCGTCGGAGTCGCGGTCACTATATTCTTAACATTGTTTGTCCCGTCCTTTAAAGAGGCTAATCGTTGAACATTTGTGATCGACTTTTTTTTAAAGGTTCAAATCGAGTAAGAGAAACATAAGAAAGGAGCGAGTTTTTTTTTCTTAAAAGTGGGAAAAATAAGATATTTCTAAATTGAGCGAGGAAAAGTGAGTCGCTCCCATGCCTGAAAAATATGACGTTATTGCGAGGGAAACTATTCGTTTCCTTTTACAGCCGTACCTGGACTGTAGGACTGTGTAGTGTTGGAGCTACCAGGCTGATGACCGGTGGGGAACGCCAAGGGACTCGGGCTTCTCGTCGGACTGGCGGGGATCGGCGACGGGCTCGGGGTCCGGGCCAACGGCGACAACGGTATGTGGCCCACGGACTTCCTGCGATTCGGCGAATGGATGTTCTTCGCGGCTGTGTGCAGCTTGTGCTTCAGGCCGTGAAGCGTGCTCGGCCGCTGATAGTGCGATTGGTTCGAGATGCCGGTCAGGTTACCCACGGAGGTGTTGGAGCCCGGTGACGAGGAATTCGGGCTCGAGCACGGGCTCGAGTTCCCGGTCGAGTGATAAGAGTCCGAGCTGGCGCGATTCGTCGGCGGGGACGGGCTACAAACAGATTTCGCGCATGCTGCGAAGTAAGGCGACGTCTCCTGCGAGCGGGTGAACGACTGGAACGATCGACTAGGCGTGACCATTGAGGGCGAGCAAATCCCGGCGGCCATCTGGAAAAAGTTGCGAGAACGCTTTCAGTAAACAGCGAAACCTCGAGCGAGTATCTCGCTTTAGTTGTGAATCTCTCGGTCGAACACACAGATTCCACTTCGTCGACTAGAATCGAAAGAGGGAACGTGTCAACGACCAACGACTGGCGGCGACTGTGTAGGTGTTTCTGTTTTAAATTTTTACACCGGTTTCCCGACCCGCCTCGCTTGCAGAGTGTAGCATATTCGGAAGCTATATATATATATATATATATATAGTGAGATATAGTGAGAAGAAACATACGTTGCTCAAAACGAAACGGCGCAACAGAAGTCATGTCAGCGGCAACCGATAAGAGACGAAAAAACACGAATAATTGTATAAGAAATCATACCATAAGTGGAGGTTTGCTGTCGCTGGGCAAAATGGGTGCTGACAATGGACAACTGATAGTTAATGGCTGCAAAAGAAAATGCGCTTAACGTAATCAGTGTATGCTGGTGCCTTACAAGCTTACTTGTCTCTCGTTTTCTCAGATAATATATGTGTGGAAAAGAGCAAACGTGACTCTCTCGTGTGCATATTTTGCAGTTTGAAATTATTAACATTGTATTGTACAACAGAACACAATCAAGTATAAATAAATGCGGTCATGGACGCTTTCTACTTTAATAATAATGGTAATAATACTTATTAAGTTTTACTTATATTTATACGATTATTTACCTACATTTGCTAAATTATTTATATTCAGTTGTGCTTGTACATGAAATTGTCGTTAAATTCATCTTGCAATGAAACACACGACAATTAAGGAGATTGTGAGGTCCAGCATTGTATTTGTCAAACAAAATTACTTTCTTATACATTAATTTTAACCTAAATGTAAATGTTAGTTGATAATAAATGTAATTCAAAAAACGAAGTTGAAGTATATAAGTATATAAATATATATAATCTTTCATATTATAGAAGTTTTTTATCAAAATCTTATTTTTAATTTAGGAGACGTCAAAAGCAGAAATTAAAAGTAACAATTGCTAATCTCAGGGAACATGTGTGAAAAGTGCCAACTTTAGTTGCAAATATTTCAATTCCCGAATGGTCAATCTCTTCCTAATTGCAGGAACAATTAGATAATATTTCAGTGTGCGCATAGTGCAAGTTTCACCGAATACTTATCAAACTCGTTTCGCCTTACAACCTCCTCGATTGCACAACGCTAAGAGTCTGAGTAAAACATCCAAATAATCACGGAACGACGTTCTCCCGCACTTGGCAGATCGCTGCCCGAGGACGCGAACGACATCACCGGCTTTACCTGCTGCATCTCCACGCTCGCGCGTTTCGAGCTGATCCGCTTGAACAGCGACGTCTTGCGCTTCTTGTCCGAGTGATCCCGCTTCTGCTTCCTTTGCTTGTGCAACGTCCGGCGTGCCAGTTTACTCTGCGCGAGATCCCGCTTCCTACCGCCTGTCTTGATGCTGGTGTTCTCCAACGGTGTGCTGCGCAACGTCACGTGGTCACCGCCGCTCAGCAACAGCTTCAAGACCTCGGTATGACTCAGGCCTTGCACCAGCTCGTCGTTGATGTGCGTTATCAGGTCACGCGGTCTCAGGCCCGCCTCGAACGCTGGGCTGGACTGATTGACCGCCTGCACGGCAGCAGAGAAATGTTCATGTAAAATCAACACGCGCATCTTAAGATGCGTACACACTGAGCGAACAAACAGCGAATGTGTAACATGAATGTGTACATTCGCGTCTAAACGCGCACGAGCTTTCTTTGACAAATCACCTCATGAGCAAGCGACCTTCTGGCTGATCATTAGTTTCTTAGCTGCGCTGCTGAATCGGTGCAACTAAGAACAGACCACATGAATCTTCTCCTCTAGTGTGAACTCGTGAAAAGTGTAAATTTTCTAGTTTGAAAACACTTTTCACGTACCCACCGTAGGGGGAAATTACATGATCATTCCCGAATCGAAATTTTAGTCCTATATTATTAAATTTTCAAGCGGGGAAAACGGGAATAACTTACCATCTGTAACATCAAAGGGAGCACAATGGAAGACCTTTGAAGACTTAACGTAGAACTAAACAGACTTAAAGCAGAGCTGAAATTTCTCGACTCGGCTTGCCCTGTTCGGATTCCTCAGGACGTACACATTATCCACGTAGTAACAACGAAAGTTTACGTTCGTCCCTTATTCGTTCGCTCAGCATTCGAAGAGGTGTTCGCTTTGCACAAGCGATATTCAGTGTAACGTTTGCACTTGCCATCACCAGATGATGCATGGTGTATAAGTCACTGTCGCCGTAGTAAACTCTAATGGTGTGCACGGTGAAGCCGAAGCCGCATGGTCCACGTCGGATGATGATGGGCGGTTTCAGACTGGTCACCAGGGGGCTCAGCTCGCGGCAGGGAGAAGTGTCTCTCGAGGACGCGGTCGAAGAGCCACCAGGTGACTCGATGGGTTGAGCATTTATCGACGCGTCATCTGGAAATGTACACGCGTGTTTCGTGAAGAAGCGAATCTCATCTCGAGCTGCGTTTCTTCTCCGCGGGAAATACGTACAAGAGAAGTCGCTGGTCGGGATGACCAGCGACAATCCGCTTGTAGACGCGGATTTGATGACGGATCGGGACTTCTGTCTGGCGGACGGTAACATGGGTATCGCGCTGAAGGACTCGAAGGAGTCGGTGCTGGAGTTGTGCTTGCTCTCCTCCGCCGCGTCCTTGTTCGCCGCGGCTAAGTCCAACCTGCGAGTGATAAGACCGTTATTGTACCGATGTTACTACCGTCGGTATTCGCGCGTACGCGTGATGAATCATGTATACGCACAGCCCGAGGCGTGCGAGGGTGGAAAAACGAAATAGCCAGTTCGCATGATCTCGATTAACGAAATTAAGTGAGTAATTATTAAATGTTTAATGTATGCGAAAGAAGAGAGCAAATCAACGTGAAGGTAGAAGTTGACTCATGATGAATCGAAGGTAAAGAGTGCGTAGGTCGGTCGAAACTAAAACTGTAGTGTGTCCTGAAGATGTGGCTGAATGACTCACATGTGTTCATCGTCAACGGATATACTGAACCTGGGCAGCTTGTCACGGGAGTGGGTGTGCCGCTTCCTCTGGATCTGCGGGCTAATGTCCTCGGACTCGGTTTGCGAGGAATCTGGTGTACTCAGGTTGATCGACATTCCCTCCATCTGAGCGTTCTTCACCACCGCCAGCTGCGACTCGTTGCTCGAGACCACGGTCGACGTGGCCGACGTGTTCGACCGGTCGGTTCTGTTATCGGCGCAGGAACTGTTCTTCATCGACGACGACGACGGGAACGACGATCGGTGGTGCTTCTCGTCGGCCAGCTTGGACGGCGGCGTGACGGACGACGCGTTAGAGCCGAGTGACAACTGAGCGACCGTACGCTCCAGTTCGTAGCGGAACAACTGCTTCTTCGTGGCGTCCGAGTCCGCGTCGGGATTCAGCTGAGGCGGCCGCGTTTGCGAGATTTTGCGCGATTGGGGCGAGTACGACGAGAACGAGCCGAACAAGGGGGAATCGTCGGTGTCGTCCGTGTCGTCGCCTAAGTCGTGGTTGTATCTATCCATGCGAGCTGAAACCACCACAGGCGTTCCATAATGAGACGGTGATAACACAGGAGAGTCAATCGCCACTGCGACAATTCAGCAAAAGATTTTGCCAATAAACACACGAAAAAAAGAAATTAACTGTCCATATAACTGAAGTTTAATTACCAGACTTAGTTTTCAGCTGTAGGAGCTGAAAACAAGGGACAAAAAGAATTGAGAGCTAAATTAACCAAATTTCACTAGTATTATGTAGACAGCCAATTTTTGCCTGTAGGAACTAGTTTCTAGCTGTGGGAGCTGCTTCTTTCTTCCCGTGCACACACGTAAGAACGTCAGTTGACGTTCGTTTTTCGAACTTACTGTCAAAGTAACTTGTATCTTCGTCGTTAACTAATTGCGGCACGAATTCGGCTTTCTGCCTAAGCAGGCTGTTCCAGTTTACTCCATAAAAATACGGATGTTCCTTAACTTCGTGCGACCCGCCGGTCCCCAAACGCTCCCTAGGGCTCTGATGCAGGAGGACTGTTATGATATCCTTAGCCTCCGGTTGAACGGGCCAGTCATCCTCGCCCGGCCATTCGATGTCGTCTGGAGAACGAAATTTCATTATACACTGCGAGAAAATCTCGCAGATAAAGCGATTGTAACGATAATGAAGAAGAATCACCGTTCACTGTGTGAGCAAATAGTTCCTCGGGCGTCTCACCGAAGAACGGAACACAACCGATCAGAAATTCGTACAATATAATGCCCATGGACCACCAGTCGACTGGTTTACCGTAACCCTGACGTAATATGACCTCCGGAGCAATGTATTCCGGTGTGCCGAATACTTGCTTGTCCGAGAACTGTCGCGTGTCTCGGTCGATGTATCCCTCGTAAAGGTTTGTCGCCACTTGAAATCACACATATAATCGAAAGTTAATTCGCAAAGTCGCCCTCGTTCGTGCAATTCGGATGCTCGCTGTACTACTTACAGGACATTAGACCCATTTTACTCAGGCCGAAGTCAGTAAGCTTGATGTGTCCCAGGGCAGTGATGAGTAAACTAAAAAGATAAAGAGATAATTGGTAATTACATGTGTTTAATTACTAAATTTGATACATAGGCCATCCGAATTTTGGCTAGTCAAATAGTTATAAGGTACGGATGAGTGTATTAAGATAAAAATTGTAAACCAACTCTGTTCTTGGCATATAAGTTGAAGTAAATATACAAAGTCAACATCAGGACCTGAAATATCTCCGTTATTCTTGGTAATGTGATAAAATGTTTAACTTATTTACTTTGAAGAGGCAAATATTATTACAATTAAAATTTCTCTTATCATGATTTTCGAGATTTCAAGGTTATCAGTATTTTTTTATGATAACATATTTTTGTTATCACAATATTGGAGCTGACAAAAAGCCAAATTCAACTATGTATGATATGTTGTATTCTTTGAGAAACTGATTACAAAAATGTTTAGATATTAGAGATCACCATTTCAAACATATTCTTAAATAAGATCAAGTTGTTTATAAGTAAAGCATGCATCGCCTCTGCACATTTTGTTTTTATAATAATAATAATAATACCACAGAGAGTCATCTAAAGGTCAACATATACATGGTTGACTTTTTTTCTGTCAACTACAATACTGTAATAGTAAAAATATGTTGTACCGTTAAAAAAAATTGCTGATGACCTTGTAATCTCGAAAATCATAATATTAAAGTAAGATTTTATTTATAATAATATTTTCCCCTTCGAAACAAATAAGTTTGCTATTTTTCTCGTATCATCAAGAATAACAGAGATATTTCAGATTCTAATGTTAGGTGACTCATCTTGTATGTAGGTTCTCCATACATATACACTAAATTGTTTCTTGTGTACAATGTATGATCTTACTTGTCAGGCTTCAAATCCCGATGCACGATGCCGTAACTGTGTAAATATTCAACAGCCAGGACAGTTTCAGCGAAATAAAATCTTGCCATGTCTGGTGGCAGTGGGCCGATATTTTTCAAAAGATTTGCGCAATCACCCCCTTCCACGTATTCCATTACTAGGCATAAATGTTTCTGAAAACATGCGATTCTGAATGATTAGTCACATGATATGTATACTACGACGGGGCTCTCAACGGCTATAGAAGGCGTAAAACGTGTGCACATACCTTGGTTTCAAAACTACAATACATAGAAACTACAAATGGATTATCTGTGAAGCTCATTATATCCCTTTCAGCAAACACCTGCTCTACTTGATTTCGCAGCATTAAGTTATTCTTATTGATTTTCTTCATGGCGAATCTTTGCCGAGTGGTCTTCTCCTTCACCAAATACACCGCACCGTAGGCGCCGTTGCTGATAAGCTTCAGTACCTCGTAGTCGTTCTCACACGGAATCCGCTGACTTTTGTCGTCGTCTTTATTTGGACTCGATGTCAGTTGCAAATTGCTGTCGCTCGAGCTCGCCGAGTCTTCCAATTTATTCAAGTCCTCCTGCAACTCTGCAGAAATTTCAGCATATATTTCACTGATAACACAAATTTCCAGCAGCATCACGGTGCAGAATTCAATGTGAAACAAGTACCAGATATGGGATCTCTACTCAAAGAGAGTTTCGTGATGATATATTGCGGAATATCCGTTTTTATTCCAGCGTTAATCTTGGCCTGGCCTTCCGCTTGCTCGAGTAAATGATAGAATTCCTCGGGATCAAATTCCAAGCACTCTAATAGACGGGCCGGGCGCGATATAACTAGCAAAAGTTTCCTTATCAGCCCTGTCAGTCTCGTTGCGGCTTCTAAGGATTTATCTTTCGTCTGTGAAAGAAACGCGATCAATCATCCCGTGTCGTCTTAGGCAAATTCACGTATACAATCCACGTGTATAGCGCACGTGAAGGACTTATTAGCTACTTGTACACACATACACACCTCCATCAATAGATGTTCCAAGTTCTCACTCATCTCGTAAAAGTATCTCGTTGTAATTAATTTTTCCTGAGATTTTTGTAAGCAGTCTCTGGCCATTTCGATTACTTGATGATGAACAAAGCGTAAAATTGGCAATGAATCCTGCGTCATGTGCGCCACCACCTCGTACTCGTCTATCTCCTTGTTCTCATTGATGAAATTAGTCAGCCGCTCCTCCATTTGTTGCGTCGCCTAAAGACACGATGACAGATATTGTCGATGCGATCTGACTTTTTCCTACCTAAGATCAATTCAATTAAAGAACGATCGTACCTTCGGAAACCTCTCCTTGTACAAGGTATTCATCATGACAATCTCGCTGTCCAGGACAGGTGATCGGCTCGGGCTGCTGCAATAGGAAAGTCGAATGAATAATGAGTATTGTTTGCGCGTCAACGTCGATTTAAATTTTACTGGGAACTCTCAGTGACGTCATCGCGTCGTATATACCTCAAGCTGTGCGAGCGTGGACGATGCAACGGCGATCGACGGCCCTCCTCTTCGAGACTGAGCGACACGCTACCCGGAATACTAGATATACTAGAGCCTGGAAAGCCCGGATGCGAGGAGCATGGTGTCCCAGGCTTGGAAAAGTGGCAAGATAACATACGCAGCTCGTCCTTGGTGGGAACATTTGGCAGTTGATGCAAACGTTCTTGGCTCGAGTATTGTGACTGTTTGAATGCAAATCACAAATTAGAATCACGATTAGCGCGGAGAGCCGCTCGGAATACCAATATCTATCCACTCACCGATACGTTACTGGAACCAGGCGTTGTTCCATAACCGCTGGACGGTAGACTGGCGACTGACCATCTCCTGCCGTCGCCAGTTCCTGTAGCGCTTCCGCCGATCCTTCAATGTCGCGAGAAAAAGATTTCGTCAGCAAGCGAGAACTCGTCAAAAAACGTTCGTGCGGATGATCGATAAATCATGTAACCGTGTCGAACGCGATCACGCTAAGAGACGTATGCATTTTATGAAAAACTTACAGGCGCCTCTTGATCAGACTTTTATCGCTCTTCGTGGACTTCGCATAGAACAGTTTTTGTATCACCATTTTTCTCTTCTATTTATAACGCGCGCGCGCAAGAGAGAGATATAGCGTTTAACAATGACGACACCTTGCCTACTTGAGCAATCAAGTCGGACTAATTTAAGTTTCTCCTAGGAGAAAAAGTAGGTGAGAAGTTAGGTACCTTTTAATTGGAGCAAAAGCAAAGTGTGGACTGGATGACATCCTAGGACTCTCTAGGGGACTGCCTACGATCGGGACGAATGCTATATCGGGAAACACAAGCAGTAGAAAAAATTAATCCACTATATTATCGGTAAATGATGGGGTAAACGATATAAGAACTTTATAATACGCTAAGTACAAGCAAAATTTATATCGGGAAAGAGAAAAAGAGAAAGAAAGAGAGAGAGAGAGAAAGATGCAACATCTTTTTACTGATCTAATCCTTTGCTGATGCTATATCGGGACAAGAGTCATGTAAAAAAATTCTAAATCTAACGTGTACTGAGAGAGATGTTATACTGTGTGTGTGTTCACGATTATCGCGTTAAATCTATCTTCATTTTTAGATTCGGTCGGAAGAAGGTAACGGTCTTAAAAATAATCGAAGGCAATTACACGGGAGAAACAGCAATTGCATACCTGACAATGGTGAATGGCAACGTGGTAAAGTGGGCGACGTGGTGGCGATGAAGGATTTGCGATGAACCGCTTTAGCGGCACGACGAGGAATGTTGAAGTCACGCTGGAAAAAACACAAGAGTAGACGTATTTTTAACGAGCACGCGCGCAAGAACGAGCTGCTGCATTATGCGCAGTTCGTCAAGATGTACTAACCACATGAACCGATAAAGAGGGTGCTGACTTTCCAATTGCAGAATTTCTCATACGAACTAGATTCGACAACTCCCCGCTCACTAGAAGTACACATAATCACCATATCACATTTCGTACGGATAATTAATGGCGAATCCGATTAGATGTACTAGTTTGTTTTTATATTTTATACTTAAGATCATTTGAAGTTTTTACGTTTAAAATCGTCCGAAGATCATCCTCAGACGCTCCGCAACCAATAAAATGATCCGTATAGTATCCGAAGAAAAACTGTAGATGATTTTAAATATAAAAACAAATTACGAGCACAGCCTTGGTGCATAATAATGCATCCAATCGAATTTGCCGCTAGGGAAAGCATGAACAAATTGTTTCACAGCAGAAATATGAGAGGGGGATTCAATCGACATGCAAGCTAACGCGCAAAATGAAATCATGTTAACCAGGTCGGACTGGAGCTTCCTTGCTCTCCACTTTGGGCAGGCTCGGACGTTTCTGTGCTTCCGTTTCCACATTGCAGGCAGCAGTCTCCTCCGTTTCGTTTTCAAACACAAGCACCCTAGCCGAATTGCCGTGCGAACGTAGACGTGGCCTGCTCGGCCTGTTCCTCGACTGATCCATGATTTCAGCCACTGCGTCCTTATTCAATGGAGAGTGAGACAGCTACAAGAAACAAACAGACATTTAATTTACAGTCATACATACGGCCATAATCTCCGAATATTAGCGTATAAATAGATATCTATTTGCACTTTGTGTTCCCTCTTCCTCACTTATTCTTGCAAAGTCTCGACAGATCGATCTTGTTTCAAATGTAGAAAGGTAGAAGGAGGCACGGTGAAAACAAAGAGATCCGAGCATCTTATACTATTCCTCTATCACGACAACAATCAGATACTACAACTCCCAGCCCACGAAAAGAGGTAAGTCACACTAGACAAGACAGACAATCGCACTCATGAAACACACCTTTCGGGGTACTCAGCGAGGAAGGAGGAACTCAAACGAACGCCGGCCGACATCTACGTGCGGCCAAGAGGTCTCCGATTCCCGACCCTCCTGCGCTTTCAGCAGCTCCGGCACGGCCCCTTCTTCCGACCATCGCCACAGAGTCCCAGCGGGACCAGCATTCTCCGGATTACTTGGCGAGGGCGCATCGCGTTCCGGAGCTGTCAAGGAGGCACACGAAGAACACGGTGGCTCGAGTGAGAGAAGATGTCAACGACGAGGCGGCGAGAATCCGGGAGTCCCACGGGAACGTGTGACAGATCAGACGGGCGGGGGGATGATCACAGGGATGACGGCGGGACGAGACGAGAGGTGAATCGAGGAAGAGGCACGTACGACACTAGGTGCACGCGGCGGCGGCGACGACGACCACGACGATGATCGAAGGGGTGCGATTATCGGCCGCCAGAGCCATCTCTTCCTAGCGGGACAAGGAGCGTCCCCGGGTTGCGAGAGCAAACTTCCCGCGTGCTCCCCGCGAGCTACACTGACATTTTCCCGTCGCGGGGTGGATTAATCGCGAAATGCAACGAGGCGACCATGGGTTCCGTGACTCATGACGGACGTGCACACGTACGCGCGCGAATACACACAGCCGCGAGCGATACACAATATACGCCTCTCTGCCCGCGCGCACCACCACTGACGCGACGCACCGCTCACGCACGCACACACGGGCGCGCGCCCGTGGAGGCGCGTACGCACGGTGACGAATCCGCGAATGGAAAAGCGCGCACACCGCGCGCGCCAGCCATTCGCCCGCTCTCTCGGCGAGCCCTTACCTTAATAGCGTCGCCGACGACCTGTACATGTGTGCGTGTCGTGTGGGTGTGCGTTCGCGCGTAGTCACGCAGCGTCGATGAGATCCCTCTCGGCGCTACGCCATTTTATTACACCTTTCCGAGAGCCCTACTGCGGCCTCTTCCTTCACACGTGCATGCCCCGTTCCCTCTTCGTTTGCACTACATTACACCCTCTGCACTCGGAATTAAGCAAATTTATGGCGGCTGAACGGAGAGAGGGGGGAAGTTCCGCCGGGGAAACACGGAAAAAAGAGCGGGCCGAGAGAACGACCGCGCGAGAGTATCGACCCCGTCTTCTGCTGAGGAAGGGAAGGAAGGAGTGAGGGAGGGGAGAAGAGAGAGAGAAAGAGGGAGAGTGAGACGGGGAGAAAGGGAGTGTGTGTCTGCAGATTAATTGGAATTAAATCGTTAATTTCGACGCATCCTCCTGCGCGCAAACTGAAGATTATCGTCAGGTTTATCGTGAGAAATCTCGGATGGCTCGGAAAAGTGGGCACTTTCCCACTTAAGCGTAATTTAGCGCGGATGTAAGAGAGCTTCTTCTCCCTCAATCTTGAGAAATAATCGGAATCTTCGTAGTCCAATCCCGGCCGAATAATATTTTCCTCGCATTCCTCGCGTTTGAAACGAATACAAGTGCGAGACGGACTTTTCAAAACCTACAGGCGAGGTGTAGAAAGTACAAGCGGGACGAGACGGACGGTCTCCCTCGAGAAATCGATATCGGTGCGAAACGCGCGACAGATTGGCGGACGGTCCTTCCCGCGGACGATAATTAGCTTAATCGACGGGGTTGGGCATCGCGGTTACATAAGCGCGTTTTCGCACGGGTGTGTCGATCGATCCGACGATGCGAGTAACGACGCAGGCAACCTTGTGACGTGCCCATTTTTTGACACTTCTCCGCGATCAGCTGATAAATAAACACAGCCGGCCTCTGTTCGCCGCCCTTTCCAAAAACATCCGTCGGCCTCCGTCAATCTCCCGTCTCGATCGAGAGCTCGACGACGATCATGGTCGGAATCGCCCGGCTCGAGACTTATCGATAATCCGCAAGAGACGAACGAACCGAGATGAATCGACGAGGCGCTCGGTAAAAATGTTCCGCAAAATACGGAGTAATAGCGAGTCTCGACTGCGGACCGACGGGGAAGCAGCCCCTCCGCGTCGGTATTCCCTGTATGATTACTCACCGTTTCCTTATCCTGAACGCGTCGTTCTAGGTGCGTCTGAAAAGTACCACCAAGAACGAGAGAGAGAAAGAGAGAGAGAGAGAAAGAGGTAGAGCGAGTGCAACGAAAAAGAGCAGGCTTGGCGATCGTCTAGCCTCATTGGGGCACTCAGCTGTTTCGTGTCAGGTGACTTTGACGTTCTTATCTGCTTCCAGATTAAACAGGAATCATCCGTTACGGGCACACACGCATATATATATAAATATATATAGGTGGCACACATTCGCATTACGTCGGGTGTGCACCCACACACAATACACAGACGCTCGGTCGACGCAGGAGAGAAAGAGGGGCACGCGGAAGAAAGTCTCACGAGGGAGAGAAAGAGGGAGACAGAGTCGCCAAGGGAGAGAGCGGGAGCGAGAGAAGGGAGGAGGAAGTGAGAGAAAGAGAGAGAGAGAGAGAGACGTGAGATACGCTCTCGCATGCTCGCGCGTCGCACTCGCTGTCGCATTTAACCGGCCGTGCAATCAGTTTTAAAGCCCTCTTGACAGCCGCACGCCCTCCGAGAGAGAAAGAGAGTTACGCGCGCGAAAAGGGCGCATAAATGCATCGCTCTTGATAATCGAGACGCCAAAGGTGGGTCGCCAAAAAAGGATTTCCGCGAGTCACTACTAACCATCTCCGCCGCTGTCGTCGTTACGATATACCCGTATCGCGCATCTGTACGGTGTTGTTTACGCGAAGTCGAGTTCGCGTGGTTCGGCAAGAGCTTCTGGACGAGGGGCTCTCGGACGACTCCCGAGGATGACGTTCGCGAACGCTGGATGGAAATGCGCATGAGGTTCGGGTAGTAGCGTCACTGACGATTCTTGATCGTCGTCATCAGGGGCTGGCTTCCCGTCCCTGAGCTTTCCTCGTGTGTGAACATCGCGCGTCGTTTCTCGCCGTGAATAATTGCTCGTTTCCATTCGGCGGTGTCAAATTCTCGTTGGATTACGGCTCGATGATTCGGTGATTCTCTTTTTCCACGAAGTGCTCGCGACCGTTTGGTTATGCCGATCGCATTGGTTATGCCAATTGCGCGTTCTAATTGCTAAGACGGTCACGGTGGTGTCTCAGATGTATGTTTGTTGATGTTTGTTAAGCACTTGATCGCGCGCAGAAGAGGTCACGGATAAGGGGTTGTTCTCGTACTCGTGTATCCTGTGATAACGTAAGAATGCTCTCTGTGCAGATGTCGAGCAGCGAGATGGACTACTCGGATTCAGATTGCGCTGATCCGGGTTACGAGGATTACTACAACGTTCAACGATGGGGCAGCGACGTGGATAACGACGTGGATCCTGAGCAAAACAGGAGAGACCCGGAATACGCGGTGTACGACTGTTTACGGGTCGACGAAGTGGAACGGCTGTTGAACGAAAATGTCGAGGTGTTAAGTACTAGCCTTCACGTAACACCATCCCTAGCCAAAGTGTTATTACACGCGCACAATTGGGCGTTGTCGGAAATTGTCACAAAGTACCGTACCAATGCTTCCAGTTTATTGATTAGTTCAAAGATCAAGCCGTCACCCACCCCGGAACAAGTGCCAGTATTGAAATGTCAGAGGGGTGGCGTATGCTCGGTTTGTGTTATGATCTTTCCCGCAGATAGGTTTTCTACTCTTACATGTGGACACTCATTTTGCAAAGACTGTTGGTGTATGCATTTCGAAGTACAAATAACGCAAGGTATAACCACCGGTGAGTAATCATTCCACTTTGCTTTTCGTCTCAGTTATTACCATTCTGTCGGTTTGCCCGTCGAGCTTTCTTTTTGTACAGGTATAAGTTGCATGGCGCACGACTGCGACGTCTTAACTCCGGAGGACTTTGTCCTTTCCATACTTACTAAGCCTAACATGAGAGAGAGGTATCAACAGTTTGCTTTCTGTGATTACGTCAAGTCTCATCCGCAACTCCGCTTTTGCCCTGGCCCAAATTGCCAAATAGTTTTGCGCTCGAAGGAACAACGGGCGAAGAGAGTCATGTGTTCATCCTGTAAAACTGTTTTCTGGTAAACCAGCTATAACTTTAATATATATATATTTTTTTTTATTATACACATTTATATATGTATTTATATTTAAATTATATTTTACATACATTATGTATACATTTATATAGAGGGTTATTAACGCCCAATATTTACACAGCGTTATTCCTCCTTTAATAAAAATTTGAGTCGAAAATGTCGAGACGTCAGTAATTTACGAGATAACAACGATTGGAAACAAAGCTTTTCGCAAATTATGCTTCGGACGACCGAATGGATAACCAAGTTGTTTTCTTCGATTAATTTCGAATGTAAATAGTGGGCGTTAATTAAAAAAAACAATCCTGTATGTGACACACATACATCATTGCATTCCAAAATAATCTGTATTTGCGCGGTGGCGAATAAACAGTGCCGTTGGTTTCAGCTTCCGATGTGGTATGGATTACCACGCACCTACCGACTGCGGTACAATCAAAAAATGGCTGACAAAATGCGCGGACGACTCTGAAACTGCTAATTACATTAGCGCTCATACCAAAGATGTATGTACTTTCTTTGCGTGAGGAGATCTCACATCAGACTTGCAGAAACATCCGATGTATCATCGATTCGTTTTTGCAGTGCCCAAAATGTCATATTTGCATAGAGAAGAACGGTGGTTGCAATCATATGCAGTGTTACAATTGCAAGCACGATTTCTGTTGGATGTGCCTTGGGGATTGGAAAGCACACGGTAGTGAGTATTACGAATGTTCCCGATACAAGGAGAATCCTAACATTGCTCATGAAAGCGTCCATGCACAAGCGAGGGAAGCTCTCAAGAAGTATCTGCACTATTACGAGAGAGTAAGTCCTTTTGCCCCCAAGAAGTATCCCGATTATTTCGAGAGAGTAAGTTTGATTCCTTCTTTGCACTTTTTTCTCTTCTTTTTTGAGATGCAAAAGGATCCACGAGGATGTGAGTCCTTCGTTTTCGTAGTCGCATGCACTCCATTTGTACGTGAAAAAATCCACAAATGTCCTTTCATTCGATTACATTCATGTTATGTTGTCTTATAGTGGGAAAACCACAGTAAGTCGTTAAAGCTGGAGGAACAAACGTTGGAAGGTATCAAGATGAGGATCAATAAGAAAGTAATGAACGCCAGCGGAACTTGGATAGATTGGCAACACCTGTTCGAGGCAGCGTCCCTTTTAGCGCGTTGCCGTTACACCTTACAGTATACGTATCCGTACGCTTACTACATGGAACCTGGACCTCGCAAGGAACTGGTAAGCTCGCATTCGTAACATCAACAATGACTTGCACTATACTCCGATTAAGATAATCGATGAGCAACAATAAGAATTGTCAGCACCAACTTCCGATTCTGTAACTTGTTCAACGATGATCGGAAAGTTAATAATCTCCATCTGTGTTAGCAAGGCAGAACACGTAATACTTGATCGATAGCAACTTCAAATCGTCAATTAACCTGATAAGACTTTGGTGAAAGTCATCTTAAATTTAAGGTAGTTGTATCCCACAGTGCCGAATTTTCTGTGGCGATATCAAGGGACCCCTACATAAATTTATCGGGGAAAAATATTTTCCCATAACTTTATTTGATTTTTTCAATAAAAATATGAATTTTAAGCAAAATTAAGAGAAATATATATACAATATTACAGATACGGAGATACTTATTTTTTATTTTTCTTATTAATGCTTTATCTAAATCTATTAGTTGAGCTAATAGAGATGCACATATAATAAAAGATGATATATAAATATTAAAATATATGTGTATATATATACGAAAAGTGTCATCTTTAGCTGTGAATATCTCAGCCTCCGAATGATCAATTGTTTTCTAATTACTCCAATAATAAAGTCACGTTTAAATTATTTAAATACGATACACGATGAAGACTAACTTGGAAATCTCTGTGTATACCAGTTCGAGTATCAGCAGGCTCAATTAGAAGCGGAGATTGAGAATCTCTCGTGGAAAATCGAACGAGCGGAGACTACGGACCGAGGTGATCTGGAAAATCAGATGGACATCGCAGAGAAGCGTCGTGTCACTTTGCTGAAAGATTTTCTCGAAGTGTAATTCGAATGTGCGTGTAGAACGTCACGCTTCCGGTGTTTTCTCTCTCACGGTCACAAAAAATATGTAAAAGCCCCACGTCTCTTTCTTTGCGAGAACGGATGTGTCTGATGTGTTCGAGCGTAATCATTTTAATAATTAAACGAATTGATTCTCGTATATCCGAAACGTTTACGAGACACAAAAGAAGAATCTACGTAGAATGAGTTTGATGTAAAAACAAAAAGAAGAAAAAAAGAACAGAAAAAGTTAGAATATGAGGGTTGGGGAAGGGGGGTCGTTATGTACACGATATTGACTGACTTATTTCCGGCACGGAAGAAACGCTACAAGAACCAAAATCCGAAATGTATACGAAACGGGTCTTTTCTCCGGTCACAGAAAACTTCTGGAGTATCGATTGTAAGTCGGAGCCACCAAGTTGGGGCAAACTGAGCGAGCCTCGACTACATCGATCACAATCGACGTTTATCTGCAGCTGTCAGTTATAGGGATAATAAAAGCATACTTTCCGTACCGGGAAAAAGTCGAAAACGATGACGAGATGGGGACTCGATCGTGGAGATGGGAGGTACCTTTTCCTAAGACAGTCTTATTCGCGTATAATTTCGTCCGAGTATTATAACGAATCGTAGCTACTGAGTGGCCGACAAGATGACAGACAAAGAATGGTATATCGAGTTTTAGCTCTACTTAATTAAATTCTCGGGGATATATTACTCGGCATAGGCGCGAGCCTCCAGGGTATCAAAAGTATTAATTGTATCGACTGATTTAAACGAGAATTTTCGACGGTATATAGGTCATGCGTGATGGTTCGTTCTTAGTTTAAGAGAGTGGTCAAAAGCAGTGCGCTTCTTTTTTCCCCCTCAAGTTTGTCTTATCGAAAAACCAGAGGTCATTTTATGCTTTCACCGATGTTCGTTTGACCGATCTACCGATGCTAACCGTATAATTTGATAAGAGGCACGACGACGAAGAATGACGAGAATGATGATGATGATGATGAGGCACGAGAAGTGTGATCCTCGTGTGATTCTCCTCACATGCGCGAGAACATACCGACGAATCGACTTGANCTCTCTCTCTCTCTCTCTCTCTCTCTCTCTCTCTCTCTCTCTCTCTCTCTCTCTCTCTATCTATCTATCTATCTATCTATCTATCTATCGCTGACCTTCCCCCCCCCCCGAACCTTCTTCAAAGTATTGTTAATATTTAAGACACATTCACACGTACATGACACACACACACACACACACACACACACACACACACACACACACACACACACACACACACACACACACACACACACACACACACACACACACACACACACACACACACACACACACNACACACACACACACACACACACACACACACACACACACACACACACAGTGGTCATCCGAAGAAGAAACGATAGCCTAATTGAGTACTCCGGTGCCAAGGGATGGTACCACCCCCGCCGTGTATATATTAAACGGATGGAACGTGTGCTATGGCGAAAAAAAAAGGAAAAAAAGGGGAAGAAAGAGAGCAACAAACAAGCAGAAAGGGACGCGATGTTTTTCTATAAATTAGATTATAAGAGGCATATGCAACGATTCGAGACATCCGCCGACACACCTAGTACCGTAATACGAACTTACGTTTTGTAAGCTATTACGAAGAAGAAAGCCGAAGGATGGGAGGGTGATGGGGCGCGCTAGAAACCGGAGGTAGGCTGCTTCTTTTCTCGCGACCGCAAGAGGGTGAAGAGGTATGTACTGAACGTTCGTCGGAGGGAGTTCGAGTTAAAACGGTCGGTTTCAAGCAAAATCGATGTAACGACTAACGTGTGTTGACAAAAGAAAAAAGAAATAAACGCTCTTTACTACAAAACTGCACATGGGTAAATTAAGACGGTGAACGACGATCATCTTCGTAGGCTTCGAAGCAAGCGATCGGAAAAGCGGAGTCCCACTTCCGACACTTCGCTCTTTCCTGCCCCCATTTGTACGTTCTCGAATGCACAATGAGAAGCGGTCGCTGCTGTATGTAACGAATATCGAAGTATTTGTAAATTAATACTAATAATAACGAGTATACACAAAATTCAGACGAAGTCTGTTCTTTCGTTTTCTCGCTCATGAAATCGTGAAATCGAAGTCTCTCTCATCGAAATCGCGATTTTCTCTCTCTCTTACGCGCCAGGATCGCTGAATCCTACTGGATCGAACAAGTCTACAGGATTCGTGTCACAATGAATTAGCAATTAAGATAATTTCGCACGCGCGAAGTACGATCGAATAATCAGCCCGTGGAAATTATTATTCAACAGTTAACCATTTATTTATAATTACATGATATAGCAACATACATTCTTCAGGAAATACACCCTACTAGGACGACAAAGCCGCTTTAGTGCTTCCTCCTTCTGGCTAGATCGAACGGTATCTTCGCAATAGATCTGGAATAATCTGATCGATCGGATTTCAAATCAAACAGATTCGATAGGATTCGCGTTCAGAGGTGGTTTCTTATCCAATGAAATGCCTTCAAAAGAAAAATATGTTTGCATGGGGGATATATATCTACGCTAAATTTGCTACCAATTCATTTCATCGTGGCACAATACTATTTATATGTAGATATATATGTACGTATATATGCACCGAATTGTACGTTCCTATGCAAGAAATATTCAGTCTAACGGTTAGTCAATAGTATATTGTAAGAAATCTGCCTATCTGCGCTAAGACTAGAGTTTTTCGCGTTTCAGGTAAAAACGTCTCTCTTTTAATATTATCTAGGAGACACCGTGTCTCGTATTATCATCGCACATTTAAATATACAATATGACCGCACAATAATCTAAGCAACGGTTGCCGTTGCTTATCTAGCGTACACAGACCGGCACAATATCTCGAACGTTTACCGGATAGAAGTCACCAGGATTTTACGATCGTGATCTTGTGCTTCATTTTACAAATATCATGATCTCGGAATAACAGTTGATATCGTCGTTTTACCGAACAGTCGACAAATGTATAAACACCTCGGCACGATGTGAATAACCGAGAAATTCGAATTGTATCACTGAGACCAGCATTCGGTCAGATCTGATATCTAAGCCGTCTCAAGTTCATCTTCAGATGCTTCATAGTCAGTGAAATGAGCCGTACGGTGTCTGAAGATGAACTCAAGACGGTCTTATATACAAGATCCGACTATAAATATACCGAGCTGAGTACTATCAAGGCTTATGCCGGTCTATATATCTGTGTGTATGTGTATATGTGCGTCATATTCTCTATATGTGATTATGAGAATTAGATACTCGTGCCAATCTGTAAATTGTACGATGAGAATACGCAGTTACGTATCTATCTGCACGTGAGTGCCTATCATTCAATCGTTGCATAGGGTGTGTTGATTATCATTACCAGAATAATACAAAAGAAAAGAAGAAATGGTAACCGTTTCACACGATTGTCGCGACGATCGCGCGTATCGATATCCTGCTCCCGAAGAAATTGTCAACACGTTTCTACAGATTCACAAGTCTGCGCGAGGAACATAATTCAATTCACTTTAGGGACTTCAGGTAAGAGTCGTCGAAGTATTCGAGTTCCTTTATGAGATAGTTGGCCTTATTTCGAAGGACCTTCGCTCTGCTCGCTGATTCTTCTAATATCCGCAGAGTGTTCGCTATTGATTTGAGTTCGCTGTCCATCTCAGACGTCGCTTCGTCCACTAAATGACAGAGACGTGCGAAGGTGCTGGACAGCTCTCTGCGTAATCACGGCAGGTATTATTACAGGAGAAAGAGAACAGGGACGATGCCAGTAGAGAAACGACGCAAGGCTCGCTTGAGACAAATTCTCGAACCCACGTCGTACACAAATTGTGTCGCAACTTACTGTTGTACTTGATGACTGCAATTGGCGGATGTAAGATCCACGATCAGTCGCAACTTTGTTGTGGCGTGTTCAACGTACTGTCTCTTGAATTCGCGTTCCTTCGCTTTGTTAGTCCACGTTAGACGTTCGTAAAGATACAAAGTACCGTATATTGCACAAGTAACCGCTATCAATCTCCAACCTATCGTTTTTAACAGCTGGAAAAGAGAATGAGGCCATTCATTTACAGAGAGAGAAGGGAAGGGGGAGAGGGAGAAAGAAAGAGATTCTTTACACAGGACGTCTCGCTGTAAATAAACACACATGTATAAAAAATGTAAAAAAAAAAACAAGTAAATCGTGGATGACGTGATATACATACAAAACCAGCAACAATAAGGCCACCAGTGCCCTGCGACGTGACAGATGCAACGGCTATCCGACTGGCTAATGACCAATCCTCGGGTCTCGGTGCGAAGTTCGCCGCGTTCGAAATCAGCTTGACGGAATCTATGCTGTCCGCGGGCGACGCGATACTCGGCGGGATCTGCGAGAAACGAAAGAGGAAACATTGGCAATTGCGATGACGCACGCGTTTCACCCCGTTCTGCACCATTTTCACGTCCCTTACTTACATCCTGAGGGTAATTGGTGATGGCTAATTTGTGGCCCTGCTTCCCCGCGAACCTATTGATGATCGCCGTGAAGCCCCAGGAGAAACGGAACTCCAGGTCCTCGTGGAAGTCCGCGCACAGGTTGTCGCAGTTCAGGCGGTACAGTATCTCGAACGGCTCCCGTCGTGGCAATATGTTGAGCGACATCTGCTTCTTGTTCTCGGGCAGCAGGCCCGACATCCTGTCGGTCATTTCCCGCTGCGAGTGCTCCATGTTCAGCGCCAACGCGGTACTGAGCCTGGCCCGTAGATTCGATCCTGCGGCAGAAACAACACGCTCATCGGTATCCGGAGACGTTCGAACTCGCGTCGAACAGCGACAAACACACGGCCGAAAATTACCTAAGCCGTTCTCCACGTGCGTGTGAAGCTCTCGCTTGTAGACGTTCAGGACCAACGTCTCCGGATGGAAGGGAACGCTGAACTCGTCCACCAATACGGCCAGTCGTCGGATCTCCTCGTTCAGGGCCTTTGAAACCTTCTGCTCCACGTCCTCCACCATGCAGTGAATCTTGTTTTTCATCTCCTGGGTCAGCAGTATCAGCTGCTGCTCCGTGAAGTTCAGTTTGTCGTTCACCTCCTTCTTGACGTCCTTCTGCTCGTCCCGCATCTTCTGCGACCGGTTCAGTATCTCGTCCAACGCTTTGCGTATTTCACTGCGACAGATCGACACAAAGGGAGAGGGGAGGGAGAGATAAGTTGACTCGCTTGTGTTCCGCGCGAGGAATACACACGATTGCACGCACACCGTACGATCCGGTGAAGAAAAAAAAAAGATAAAACAGCGTTTTCTTACTCAGCGATGTGTTTACCACGTTCCGAGTGCTGCTCGAACTTGGTCTTCACCGCCGACTTGGAGATACACTCTTCGAACTTCCTCTCGAAATCTTGAAATTCGAAGTACCGGTTTTGAAAACCGTCCGCCAGCGCGCCGTCTGTAAAATGCGCAGATACGATAAGATCACGTTGGCGGGGCGATTCTACGTCTCTGAGAAGCGAGATGAAAAAAAAAACTGTAAACGGCAAATCTCAGGATATTACTGTGGGCGGGTTGGCCGCGTTGCTCCTGCATACGGGCCTGGAGGGTCTCCTTCGCGGAAATGAAGAAGACACGTTCCTCGGCATCCTTGGGATTGTACACGTTCAGCTCCCTCGACAAGAAGTCAATAGCACGCTCTTGATGCTGCGCTCTCACCTACACACAAGAAGCGAGTAGGGTGGGAAAAACTTCTATCGAGATTCTCGTTAAAGTCACGATGTGACGTTCGATCGTGATAACAAGCACACACACTGACAGAACTTTGCTGGTACTAAGCTGTCGAAAAGACGCAAACAATAGTACATAAATATTGTTCGGTAAGTAGATAGATTGGAAAACATATTCACAGTTCACTGTGCGGGGAAAAGACAAACTTTCGATCTCTCCGCTTCGGTATCACGAATTCATGCGTGTTCAGCTCGTAGCGGTGCGTGTAGCATTTGTATCGAGCGTGGACGAATTCTGCTACTGTCGAAAATGAACGTGTGTGTCACAGATCGAAATGTAATAAGGCGTTTCCCCGTTTATTGCGTAACTGTAACGTACGAGTCGAGTTTCTAAAGATCTCTGAGAGACGGCTCTCGATTCAGTTCTACTTAACGCGAGAGCTAAATCAGGACGGTCGGAAGCATCGTTTCTGAATAAACAACCATCTCCATGGCATAGGTAAACTCACCTCCTTTTGTTCTTTGACCAGCTAAAGAATAAAGGAGATATTACTGAAATTCATTTACATTACGACGGCACTACAAGGAATGTCAATTTGTCAGATGTAAACGCATATAAAATTAACAATTTCAGCGTGAGATACGTATGTATATCGCAATTGTCGCAGTTTCTCTTGATTTTTCAGAACTGGCACCACGTAAATACATACCTGATCGAAGAATTCCGGTTCAGAAGCGGAGGCGTCCCATCGGTTATTTAGAATAAATATATTCGGTTTCGACAGTCGTGTGGAAACTTTGTGAAAGAAGTTCTTTTCCTGAAGGGAAACGAGGAAATAGAAATATATACAGTCAGCCGATCGTTGGTGGAAGGGGGTTGTCTGTGGTATGCATATAATTGAACTCACCGTAACCATCAAGGTAGATTCCGCATTTGCCACCAAAACGAAAACGTCCGCATCTAAACAGTGCTTATCGATCCATTCGTCGAGATTTGGAGTCACATCTACTCCTGGACTGTCGACGAATACTACGTCGTCCCGTAATAACGAACATTTGTCCTTCGGCCAGAATATTCTCACTAAGTGACTCTCGCACAGTTTCTCTTTGCAAAGCGCATGACCTAACTGTCCGACGGACTGCACCGGCTGTTTTTCGGTGGATCCTTCCGTGACGAGGTACGATTCACCGTTTTCAGAGCCTTCGACTTGTAGAAAACAGTTCGTGGTGTGCCCTATGCCACTCGGCAGAATTTTGTCGCGCAGCATAGCATTAATTACAGTACTTTTCCCATTACTCGTTCTGTAATATACGTGCAAGTGTAAAAATTCCACTTACATCCGAAATATCCGAAGGATCATTAATTTAATGAAATCTGAACGTACCTGCCAAAAAAGGCGACTTTCATGTGATCTCTTTTGAGAACATCTTTTATTGCACGCACTTTGTCAACGTAAGCTTTGATTTTCACCACTTCTTCAGCAGATACAATGTTATGGTCATTTTGTAATGCTGTAAAGTTAATGTTGACTAGATAAACTGTTACATTACGTTAAATATGTTTCACTTTTACTCCTTCCTTTCTCTCTCTCTTTCTCTTACTGTTTACTCACATGCCATAAATTCCACGGTATCCGCCACATAATCCTCTATTTCCAAAAATATATCATTGATCTTCTTTTTTGCGTTAACAAAGATCTGTAGAGGAGAATTATCAGTTCTAACATCTGACGTTCGATGCTGGCTGTCTCCTCCAATCATGGATACTGTGCGATTGATATAGGCAGCCATGTCTCTTTACGTTTCTACTTTAAATGGTGGTATAATTGGCGAAAGGAATAAAAATGTACGGTGCAGTTTGGATAGGCGGTACGGCGACACACACAGTGCACAGCATGCGGGATCAACTGAAATCATAAAAAGCAGGAGTTAAACATTTTCTAATGGCTAGCTCTTGCTGTTATATACACACAGATATGAACATATATAGGATGTTTTTCATCTATAAATGGATATATTGTAAACACTAGTGATCATTGTGAGATATGTTTCAAATTAAAATCATTTTTCCATAGGTCTGAAGAAAGAAATGCCAATCAAAATTTTATTCTAGACAGATTTGCTCTCCCAATATAAAACTTACTTGTCTCCTTTTGCATGTGGAAACATAACATTTTCTCACATAAATTAACTTTTACAGCATATTGTAATTTTCACAAGATATTTTCCACAAGATAGAAACTGACTTTAATTTGAAACATTTTGTTGATACTTTCCGAAATATTTGTGTATTTGTGAGTAAAAATAATTGTTTCTTAAATCAAATAGGTACATGTAACAAGCAATTACACGACATTAAACATAAGTTTGATACATTGCGCAACCTTTTTATCTTTAGTCATTGATGACCCGTAGAGTAAAACTATAATTATTCAGATTTTGCTGCTGCGCCCAAAATTGCTCTAAAACAATTTATAGTATTGTTATTGTTGTTAAAGATACAATGAATTGTGATAAATTAAATGAATCGTGACAAGAGAGAATATATATATATATAACATTTTTTACACATGTTGCGTAAGAACGGGCGGACATTTATTTTATGATCAACATGGAATTTGTATCATTTCCGAGCGCGCGCTTTTAACAATCAAACACGTGTAATTGTATGTCTACATACGGCGGACGATACAAATTACACAGAATTTCTAGATTGTATCTCGTACCGACAATTTGCAAGTATAACCTCAATTAACGGCAGAAAAAAGTTCACACAAACAGTGCGCATCAAGTTCTACTAACCGTTAGAACATTTTCACAGCAGTATACTAGTCATATCGTGAGGATAATCGTGCGTGAAATGATGAAATCGAATCATGACCGCAGTGATACCTCTGTTGATTAATAAATATATGTATATTAGACTTAAAATAAATTTGCTCCGGCTCAGCCTATTCCGATGCTGACGTTCTAACCAAACCGTTGCAACTTACTAACAATGCGGGAACACGTGATCACACGACGAATTCGATCGAATGAACACACCGCACAGCACGCAAGCGGCAAGAGGAGTGAAAGACATCGTGTCGTGAATCCATCGTTTGCGAACATTTATACCCATTCGCTCCGTTATTTCATGGTGGAGAGGCGAAAAGTTCGTCCGAATCGTCCGCCGAATCACTCGATTATTTTTGAATAGATCCTTTCGATTTGCCTTCAGCCCGTGTCAGACTACGGATTACGATTAAAATTTGATCAATCAGAGCAACATTCGTTAACTTGTTTAAAAAACTTTGCTCTAATTGGTCGATTTGATACGGTCTGATACGAATTTCTCGGCCACGTTAAAAATGAAAAGTAGTCTGAAGGCCATCTTAAAGTTATCTTCGTAGTCAATGAAATGAATCGAGAATCTGTAGATAAGGAACTCAAAAAAATTTTAAATATAAGATCCGACTTTGAATATTGGTCTGACCTGCCGTTGAGTTGTACTATTTGCAAAATATAAGTGCATCTATATGTATAGAATCGAAGTGGTACGAGTCAATAATAAAATGCGTCTCTTTGCAAGTAGTACGACTAAATAATAGTCAGTCAAATTTTGTTTTCAACGACTGACGTATAACTCGACTTAACGACTGATCAGAGGGTTATTAATTTTTAAATAATAAAATTATTTATACATAATTAAAAGATTGCCTATTGTTATATTTATACGCACACAATTCAAAAGGTTTAACGAAATCTTAAGTAAGTTTTACAAAGTTAAGAAATTTTCAACACCTGTCACGCTTTATGTGATTATATATAATTAGGACAATCGTTTTAATTGATATTTATTAATAATTTTCATATATTATTCATTTTCATATTTTCTTTTCATTTAAAATACATACTAATACCAAATTTCATATTGATCGATAGATGTGTATATCCTAAATAGTTTCTTTTATATTATTAAAATTTCTCACATATTTTATATTGTTATCTAGCCATGCAGCATAGAAGGGATTGCATGAAAACTCTGCCTCTATTGGAAGGAGCAAAAGTGATCGTCATAGATGAAGGTTGGTTATTTCTGGAATATCTAATCTATATTATTCTGTATATTTTACATATATGTTAATGAAACATACTGACTGCTTTATATCTTGTAGGACTGGAAGCATTATATGCAAGAACGTTAATAGCTGGTTGGATGCGTACATGGTTAGAGAAAGATCATAACTACAGTGTCGATCTACTGTCGTTTAGCGACCCGAAATTTTGGTACAACGACGAACCGAAATCATTTGTATCCAAAAATGTGCAACTACACGATTATTACAGCATCGATGTGGATAAAGTAGCAAATGAGGATATAGAAAATCTCAGACATATACTCGAGACTGTTAATCCACATAATACAGTTATTATTGACTGTCTGAGCTCCTTGGTCTTATATGTTGGTCTAACGAAAACTCTGTGGTTTATAGAGAAGTTGAGCAAACATGTGTCACAGTTGATTTGCATTTACAGAAGGGATTTTATACAGAACAAGATTCCTGCCATTGAAACGTTAGGCACTACGTACGTGAAGTTAGAGAAACACGTTGGAATTAGTGCAATAAACAGTCTGGTTTATAGCACAACATTTGTTCATAGAAAGCCAGGTGGGTCTGTATTATGTCAAACAGAAGTGATAACTCAGGACAATGCGACTTATCAAATCACTACTGGAAGCATCGTCACACCGAGCGACCACAAGGATCAAGCAGGTACGAATCAACCGGTGAAGATCGAGTCATCATTCAGGATAGAAATGAACGCTCGGGAAATGGAGCAAAGAAACAAGACGCCTTTACCTTACACGATAAACGCAGCGAACACATCCAGGATACATTATCAGCCAGACGATGTAGATGACATAGACGAAGACGATCCTGACGACGATTTATGTATTTGAATTGATTAAAACGAAATATTTATACAAGGACTTTTTGTTATAATATATATTTTGTATATATATTATTTAACACATCAATCTGAACTTCATTGCATCTTTCCTGCGATCCAGCTTCCTCCAGATTCTGAAGCGGACTCCAAATACTCGACATACATATTACACAGGGTGCCAAAGGAGGGAATGATTTTCTTTTCATCAATAGTCCACTTCCGATAGAATTGTCGTGTATTTATTACTTATCGCCACGACTTACATCGTACATGACTTACACACATCTGTGTAAATTCGCCTTGATATGAGAAAACACGATTCAACGAGAAATAAATGTCTTTACAGGGAAAAAGGCGAGACGGTGGTGTTTGACTAAAGTTTCGAGAGATAAATAGCTACGGTGTAATACTTGTATTGCGAAACTATCTACTGGCATGCACGCATGCTTCTCTTTGTAACCGATAAACCATACATCTCTCTTCGCACGTACAGAGCTCGAGTGGTGACGAGAGATTAAAGCAAACTTATACTCTAATTCCCGGTGCGACGCAGGCATTACGAAAATATATTACTTTCTGTATTAGCGTCATCTCAGCATCCTTTCTAACCGCATCTCTTACGTGTGTCTCATCCTTCCGTCAAATACACTATGACGAGGAAATCAGGATCTTCGTCCTGATGGAAATAGTGTACTTGCATCGGAAGTACATATTTCACACGAGTTGTAAGCGGCATACAATATATTAAACACAGCCTTCGCTAACCTCAGATAAAATTATAATAAAACAGCTGGAAAACTGCTACTATCTATATTATACTACTACAGCTAATACTGGTATTATTTCTCGTTTAACAACAGAAATACGTCACTTGTATTCAGAAGAAGTAAAGTAAATCTGTTATCGGAAATTATTCTCACTCAGCGAATCCTCTTCCGCTGTCTATGAGGGGATTTCACTATAAAAATTAAATTTTACCTAAGAGTAGTCGGCGCAAAATAATCGTCCAAATATTTCGCTATGCTTGCAGTCGCAAAATGTTACGACGCAATACAAGGAACAATTACAGTCATAAATAAGTATAAATGTACCACTCTTACGTCGAGAGATTCGATCGTATCTCTCCGCTTTTCTCACTCGCGCGATTGGCGTTTAAAATATAATATATGGAACTATCCCTTGTCTATTTCGAGCTGATCTGGGTAGGAAACTTAATTGCACGTTGAACACGTACGCACAAACAGATCTTGTTCGTAGAGCTTGCGCTGATGAGTATATCGTTAATTTAAAAAAATATTATTTATTAGACAAGTTAAAAATTAAAATATATCTTTGTGCCACGCAGAGACCGAGAGACCGGAAATTCAACTATGCGCTGAACGTGTACAGCAGATTCTGGTCGTAGAAATGATGCGTACCGTCCACGTGTTGCAGAACTCGGCTCTCCAACAGACAACGGCCGTATCGAACAGCGTCCTCCCGATTGCTCGCGAGTCCAACCTCCAGCAGCCAGTTGACCAGGTCAGTGCCGGAGAAGACCCCTCTATACACTCTCAATAATCGCCTACGACACATGGATATGCGTGCCCGACACGCCTCCAGGTGGCATCGATTAAACTGTTCCCGGATCGCCCTCACTTCGGGGCTCAGAGCCTCCTCGCAAGGAAGCTGTAACTCTTTTCCTGCCGACATTTTTGGAAATATTATTAAGGGCACGCTACTCGCGAGTTTTTTTCGTATTGGAAGAATCGTTCTATCTTCCTTTAGTATGTAGTGAAAACTAAAGGTATTTATGTTTCGTGCAAATAATTTCAGCAGTTTCCGAATTGTCATCCTGCGGCATACATTACATCGCTGATGGTATTACCTGTACGCCACCTTTTGCAGGTTTTTCGCAGCCAACATCCAAATTTACCCAGACTTGGATCGAGCCCGAAGATCGCAAATGTTATTAACGATTGTCCGAAGTTCAAGGCCACGTCTAAGAACGCCAGCTCGGCGTAAATACCGGAGAACTGTTCCATGATCAACGTGCCGACTGATATCGATATGCCCTGCAACACGTTACGCGGTTGAATCTCGCGATCTTGCGAATCGACGTCTCCACGACAGTGAAAAGTTCACAACGTACAATAAACGTGGAGCACAAGAGCAGGATGAGCAGAACGAGGTGACGCAGGATCTGCGGGTCGTTATCTGTATTCATGTCGCTCTCCTCGATGCAATTGTAGCTCTCCTCGTACATTCCGCACGCCTCTCCTGTCGAACAGCCGTTTTGGAAGTCGCAGCGAATTCTGTAAGCGTTCATTGCGTTACCACCCGTTCATTCGCACGCATAATGTGGTATAATATGACACACGAGATACGCATGGTAGTCTCATCTTGGAATTTCACTCACCGAGGCGAGCTGATCAACGGTGAGACTAAATCCTCGACATCCACCACGGGTCTGTCAGTGACTGGGATCGTTGTGCTCTCCGTGTTGTTGCCAAGATGCTCGTACGACAGCTCAGGGTGCCTTCTTTGATACCTCTGTTGCAAGACCAAGCAACCCAATGTCACTGTCACAAAATCAAACGATTATGTAATGGTGATTATAAGTCTTATGTACACTTGCGTGTTTCATAATGTGCTAATGGCAATTTAGGAAAACGATTCAAACATCCCTCTCTCGGACAGAGCAGAAAATGACGATATTTCAAAATAAAATGTCGAAGTGATGAAAAAATGACCGAAAGGTGAGTTTCCACAGTCACTTTCTCGATTCTTACGTACCTATAAAGCAGAATATCAACAAGATTGAAGATACAACGGCTTGAACTCGGTTCAATTGGAAATTCGGATTCTTCATGTTGAGATCGGTCAAGTCCGGGATCTCGGAGAAGCACAGTATTATCACCAAGAAAAGCGGTACCCTGGAAACTAAAGTTATTTCAGACACACCGAATTTCTATTTAATCTTCTCGCACGATCGTGCGAGAAGAAAGCTCGTATCCGTACCCCCATCCAATCGGGTAAAAGTATCTCTGCAACTTCTCAACGTGGGACCGTGGATGTACACCGAGGTACAGCAAGGTCGCTGCGATTCCAGCTGTCCACATTCGACTCGCGTACACGCCTACTGTTATCAAGACAAACTGGACATACCTGCGTGGTTGATAACAATCGGTCATAATCGTATTTCTAGAGGAATCGCCGGTCGATCGCACAGAAATGTCATTACCATAATATCGTGACGTAATTGCATTTCGGATCCAATTTCGACCAAATGATCACGCCTATCGCCGTTGCGAACTGAAATTACGCGGACGGATTTTCACACATTGTGAATTTCAACCGACATACGCCGCCGAATGATGTGTATCATACATTTTGCACAATTTGCTGTGCCTACCTGGGCGATTATGAGACACAGGGTGCACCGATGAGTGACGTGGTTGTACTTTTTCCACCCGAAACCGAGGAAGCAGATCATCAGCCACACGCAAGCGGCCGCGGACGCGACGCCCATATCGAAGGAGAAGATATTCAACTGCTTTACGTAACTGATCGGCGTGATGCCGGCGTAAGTCGCGTCGATCAGCTTGGCCGACACGAACATGAGCGGGGCCGAGAGGAAGGTGCAGGCCACCATCGCCGAGGCGATCAGATCGATCTCAAGGTTGTACCGCAGAGTGAAGATGAACAGAGCCGGCGCAGTCGGAATGGTGCCGTACAAGAAGCCGTACGTACTCAGATCCCTCGTCTCCGTGTCGTTGTACCCGGCGTTCAAGAGGATGATGGACTCTCTTATGACCAAGGGTAGCACCAACAACTTCACCGAGATCAGTATACCCGGTATGACCAGCGCTGTGCCCTTCAATTTGTGCACCTTGCCGACCATCATCAAGCCGAGGAGGAAGAGCGCGCTGGCGGAGAACGCGTTGCCGAACACCTCGAGTATCGTGGCGAGCAGACGCGGAACGTTGTGCTTGAAGATGAGATTCCCCACGATGCCTAGGACCGTCATGAACAGCACCGGATTCAGCACAACGCCCTTCACCACCGAGAACACCATATCTTTGTAGCCTGCGTGCTCCTCCACGCGCCGCTTGCCTATCTCCAACAGGACGAAGCCGATCGGGTTCAATATGGCTAGTGATATAGGAGCCATCAGGTAGAGATACGCCGCGTATTCCGGGTGGGTTTGTCCGTACAGAGCATCGACTGAAATTAACATTACTATTTGCAGCAGATTTCACGCGGTATTATGTCTCACGAGAAAAAGGACTACACTCGTCTCCACAGTTCTCATCTATAGAAGCCTTTTGGAATTCATGAGCATCATAAGCATCCCTGAATCAAATTCTCTGAGCCCCACGCCAAAAAATCGTCCTTAAAATATTAAATGAGCAATAATCGAGATAATGCATTTGATTCTGGAACGCTTGCTGATTCCAAGGCTTCTAGGACAGGAACTTGAGGAGGTAATTGAAGCCCTTTTCCCCCGGAGAAGCTTTCAGCTCCTACTCATCGGGTATCCAATAGCAAAATCATTGCTCTGCGTGGTAAATATCGCGAAGAGGGCGGCGCGTCCAGGATTCGACGGTTTCTTAATTATTAGTGAAACAACGAGCACTACGACGAACACACAGCTCTTGGCCAGCAGTACGGCGAGCAGGAACTTCCAATTGACCAGTGAGAAGTCGAGTTTCGCCAGAGACATAAAAATTAAAGACGGCAAAGCAAAAGTGCCGACGAAGGTGTTCAGACCGTTCGCCTCGGACTTTGTTATCACGTCGAATCTTCCAGCTATATATCTGCAAGATACATATTTCAATTAAAATCAGCATGTATGCGTTTCGCTTCCAAATATATGTTAAACGTGTCAAATAGACAATTAAAAATCAACATATGGAGGAGAGTAGAGAATTCCAATGAAATTAAAAAAAAACATATCAAAACTTTTAGCAATTTTTTATTTGAATGATAAAGTATCAGGAATATTCTTACCCGCACAATATAATAGCAAAACACTGTACCAGTGCGAGATATAAATTATCGGTTGGTTCAACCTCTGTCTTCGCGTATTGATCCATATGTGATGATAAAGATGTTGACAAAATGCTTTCTTGATTGCTCTAAAATAAAAGATAAAAAATATGTGAGAAACAAATGCATTGAGAAATCTTGAATACAGAAAACATAATTCATTCTCTTTTAACTTGTTATATACCATTTTTGCTCACTATATGTGAAAGATACCATCCTATTATATTACAGTCAGCATAATAAAAATTGCCTCTTTACATGATAAACTCTCATGTTGTCTTCGTATCTGCAAACAAATGATGCTCAGTTCCTTGTAATCTCAGTTCTAGTAATCTATATTCACCTAACAAACTAACTTTAATATTAGCATATGTCGTAGGAAAGTAGATAAGAAAAAATCTGTAAAACAGTATACACTTGAAGCTACAAAGTATATTTGTAGAAGTGTACGATTACAATAGTTGTAACCTGAGAAGAAAGAAAAGAACGACTAACTGTTATCGTTGATCCTAGGCTGTTATCAATACAACTCGCTAATACGAACATAAATGCCATGATTAGACGTTTCGTAAGATTAACCAAAAAATCACCTAAAAGCGCACATCGCAATGTGGAAAAAAAAATATTGGCCAATCGGAGCGCATTGCTTTCTTTCTTGGAAGCGGCAGAGAGGATGACGGAGGAACGGGTAATCCTGCGGTTCTGTGAACGTTGGTACTCAAATATCAGTAATGACAGGTGAATCTGTCACAAGGCGACCGCCACGTAAGGAACGAGGCGAGTGCGAGCGAGACCAATGTCAGACGGGCCGGATATCAAGCGCGCATGCGCCGCGAAACGACACGCTCGTGCGGGACATGTGAATTCGCACGTCCGCTAATTCATATCTTATCACTGCGCCCGATAACGAGGCAATGTGAAATGTGGGGGAAAAGTTATAAAAAGGGAAACGGTACCAGTCACGCCTGTTGGCAGCCGCGAGTTCTCACCTTCAATCATCTTCATCGGCATCATTCTCGTCAGCTGTCAATCGTCACAATTAGAATAGAATATAATATAATAGAATAGAATATATATATTACAATGAAGTGGTTCCTCCAGTGGTTGCTTCAACTAGTAAAGGACTGTTTCATCCAAGCAGTGTCCAACCAAATGAAACAATTAATCGAAGAAATGGTGCAGCAGTTAGTCGACTACATACGTCGCTCATTTACGCCAGATAACATTCAATGGGGCTGGAACGCATGCATCGAGTTACTCTTCAGCATTATGGGACAGCTGATGTCTCAGTCACGAATCGAATTGACAAATAATACCATACCATGGAAAGGAAATGATTAATTAATTACTAATGGTTTAGCGTTTCTAAGTAGGAGACATAATTTTATTTCTTAAAGGAACGCTAAAAGATCAAGACTTATATGATGAAGCTAGTCAAATAAGCTCGTTCCTAATAATTAGGAACGGCTTAACAACCAACTTTTTAAAGCTTTTCACACTTCAATTTTTTGGGAGGAGATAGACTACGTGAACATTTACGTAGTCTTCCTTCCCATATAGCACAGAAGCTTGCAGTAACATTGCTGCAGCGTTGCAACATTCGCAGCAATATTGCTACAATGTTGCTAACGTCGCAACAATGTTGACGTTAGCTCTCGTGCTGCGTGGGTTCCTTCGAAATGCAAAAGGCGGATCGGCCTTGATCGCAGAAAATTAGCAGCTGCCTTTGATTTTTATCAAATTCCATTCACGCGCTAATTCGTAGTTTATCCTGATAAGCTGATAAGATATTAGACTGATTCACTGATATGTGGTGCATGTCAGTGCTCGGGATTACTTTCATCGCTTTCGGGAGCGATTTTTCGAGGGCTCTGCGACTACTTTCTTCTCCTTGCCTCTTCTGTCCATACTTTGCACGATGTAATTGACAGTAGTTGCCCTCAGCATCAGGACCGTCAACTTCATAAGATCACTGTGAGACACGCCCTGATTTCTGAAAAGTTCTTACTGAAACTAGTCTCCTAGTCGCGTGTTGTTTTTATACGCTGCCGACACAATTATTATATTGTTATTACAGCGATAGAACTGTAGTTTCGATAAGAACATTTCTCAGTAATTAAGGATCGTCTCACGGGCCATATAAATTTGTCGGTCCTGAGGTTACGCGCGACAATTGTCAACTGCTTGGCCCGACGGGCGAGCGGAAGAGATAAGGGGAAGAAAATAGCCGGAGCTCTTGAGAATTACTGCGAAAGTACAGTACGATGTCATGTACGCTGGTATCATTTCCACAGCTTTCCACGCGTGCACACATAAGGTCGAAATTATTATAATTAAAACCGTACCAATCTTACCGTTATAACTAGAGTTACTTCTGCGATTTTCAACCTTTATGCGTTATGAGTAAGGCTGAAAATCGTATAACCGTCTAGGCAACTTCCGTCCAGAGAATGACACAGTATATATATGTCGCCGACTGTACCTAGTAATTCAGAACACTGAACACGTGATCAAAGTGATAAGACGTTCGGTATAAAAGGAGCGGCGTCTGTCGGCCGCGTCATAAGGCGCTCACCATGACACGTAGAGTGGTAGCGCTCACCATGGCACGTAGATTGATAGCGTACGTGATTCGCATAGTACTGTGCAGTTTTGACGAAGCACTGAACGACGAAATAAAGAGATTAGTCAAACAGATAGTGCATTATTTATTCGAGTGGATACGTAATTTAGGGCTATTGAACATCGTCAACGTATTCCTCACATTACTACCAACCTATATAACTAACTCATTGCTGATCTCTGATTTCGTCGACATACGAGCTAATAGCACCAGTGCGGCTGACACTATGCCAGATCGTTAGCTATTAGAAAATACAATATCGGGGGATATTTAACTTTCGAAATCAAAGAAATCAAAGATGATTTGATTTCGAAGGTTACAGGCTGACCGAAGTAAGGCGACTTACTTCGGTCAGCCTGTCCGTCCATAGAATATATCTCCCGATATATGCCACTCCTACCAATTAAATAATTAATTTTTCAGAGAAAAATTAATTGTTTAATTAGTTAACTTTTCTCAGAGGCAAGAGGGCGATTGCGAACGCTCGCACAGCCCTCGTTCTTTCAGTGTAAAGAACGCGCGAAGAGCGAAATGACCTTGAACGCAGAATTGGCAGCTGTTTGCGGGCTTTTAAGGCAGCAGTTTCGATCTTTCAGCTCCACTCCTAGCGAGATGACTCCTAAACTATGCTAAGAAGAGAACAATCAAAGAAAACCGATGAATTTATTTTTTTCTCGAATATAACTTCTAGGTTTGTATACTCGCAAAAGTTTCTGAAGTTTCGAATCGCAATCGCTCATAGCAGAAATACCATACCTTAAATATATATCACTTCTCGACTCTTTTCCAGATTACAGTATTATTTCCTGGCATTGTGACGCACCTATCGCTGCGTAAAGCCGACTCAGCGTCCTGTTGACGCGAGGATAAGAAAAATTCAACGTATTCTGCTATTCGTGGTTATCTATCGGCGATAAAATTCGCAACAAGGATAGCGCAAAACGATCGATGGAACTGCGTATTACAGATTTTTCCACAACCTTCGACTGTGAACCGGCCAATCGCGAGATCGTTCGTATCTTTCGAGAGCCTGCCGCTTGTTTTTAGCACAAAGAGATAAAAAGATTTATGGAATTTTTTAGTAATGTCCATTATATTATCATTCTTTCAGATTAACCAAGAATATATCGAATGGCACAAGGGCACAAGAAGAAAATAATATGGATCATTATCCATTTCGCCTTCAGTGAGCTTTTCGAGATGAATCTCTCTGTATTCCCATATACATCGTGCCGATCTCCTTATTAACTTTTTAGCTATGAGGAAAACTTCAGATGACAAGCTGCTTTCGCTGTACGCGAAACAACAGTTGCAAGTCAGTCATTGCGATGCGTCACGAAAATCAGTGCTGAGCATATGGTAGAAATAATATTCGATATATTCGAAGGTGAATTGTTCGAAGCTTTAAACTCTATTCGAAGATTCGAAATATCAAAGCTGTTAATAGAACTATTTTTGGAGAGTGCAACAAAATACTGTGCAATTGGAGCATCAGTTTAATTCAGATAACATTAAAACGCCGTAAAGACGTCTTTTAGACATACGCGTGTTTGGGTATTTTTAATTCAATTCTGAGGTTTTTATTTGTCTAATTTAAAATAAAGTTAATGAAGAAAGTAATAAACAACAAATTTCATTAACTTTATTTGAAAATAAATGCAAATTTTGCCACAATATAAACCAGCATGATGTGATGCAAGAAAAAATTATATTACGATTATAAACTCGTTATTAAAGCTTTCATACGAAAATTTTTTTAGATTTTCATACAATCCGGAACAATATAAAAATATGTATTTCCCTCAACGACCCGGATTGCCCACGGAAGATGCTGAATTCAACATTGCCGACGGAGGGTTAAGAAACATCCTGTATACACTCCGGTAATACAGTTAGTTTCATATACGTTCCTTGAAATATATATGATACAATTATGAAACGTTATGAAAAACTATGAAAATACTGTTGAACGAAAGGCGGAAGAAATATTTAGATTGAATTAAATGTTTCATCGTGGGCAGCCATAAACATAAGTATTTACTTCAAGCAGTATTTTTTAAATGTAGAGCAGATACGAGGGTTGATCCAGAAATAAGGTTCCCATCAATTTTACAAATAGACAATATTGTTTATTCTCATAGAAATTTATATCGTTGGAAAGATGAAACTTTGCTCTATTTTTCTACATAATCGCCATCTTTTTCTACGCATTTTGTAGACGGTGCTCCAATTTCTGTATCCCAATGTCTTGAACTCCGCCGCCAACCCGTTGAGGAAGCGTTTCACCTCTTCTTTGACTTCAAGGGTAAGGGGATACTGCTGATCGATTTCATGGAACGCATTTTTGAGTTGATTGTTGTCCCACGTTCCATGAAATCGATCAGCAGTATCCCCTTACCCTTGAAGTCAAAGAAGAGGTGAAACGCTTCCTCAACGGGTTGACGGCGGAGTTCTACGACATTGGGATACAGAAATTGGAGCACCGTCTACAAAAATGCGTAGAAAAAGATGACGATTATGTAGAAAAATAGAGCAAAGTTTCATCTTTCCAACGATGTAAATTTCTATGAGAATAAACAATGTTGTCTATTTGTAAAATTGATGGGAACCTTATTTCTGGATCAATCCTCGTATAATGATACATGATTATATATAGACATATATGTAGTCAAAATTCATATATAGTCATTTTTTCCCGGGCACGCTCTTCGCAAATGAGCGTCAACTTTCTGTCGTTAATTTCAGTCAATCATTAAAATACAGTTTGTTTTTATGAAAATTAGTGTACATATAAAAAATTCCTTGAACTGGCCGCGCTGGTCGAGAAATGTACGCATACTAAAGCGTGAGAATCTCACGTGTGTACATTTCAATATGTATGTAAATTTCTTGAACTAGTGCAGCCGGTTCAGCTGAAAAGAAAACAGACCACCGGTTCGTCGAACAATAACATCGGACAGATGTGAGGATCTCGAAACAAAATCGCTCGCTCGTTCACGGGTTAACGGCACACGAATAATGCGGCGCGCATAACAGCAGGCCGATAAAGCCGCGCTCGTGTGTATGTGTTTTCCGCTCGGCGGCGCGACAAAATTGCGCTGCGATTTTACAATGCAACGGCGCGTGTTGGGTCGCTAAACACCCGCGCTAATTCATTCAGCTCTTTCCTTGAGCCACATAATATTCAAGAAGCGAACTTTTTACCTCGCATTCCTGCCGAGTTGCTCACACACACACACATCAGCGCGTGCTGTTATTCGCGCGCCCACGTGAGCAACGTACAATTGCAATCGCATCGTATAAACTAACGGGGAACGCTCGATTGTCGGCGTCGAATACCGCGGGAGGGTCCGACATTCAGTTTCCTATGACCGGGCTCCTCGTTATAAACGCACTCTCCTTCCTGCTTCTGCAGTCGATAAGACGAGACAAAGAGCCTGAAAGTAGAATAGATTCGTGAACACCGTGAAAATAGCATAGGAATATTCTATAAATGTTCTATGAATATTTGCTACGAACATTTGTACAGAATATGAATTGAAAACACTGCTACGGGTTCATAATATGTTCTTATCTGGGAAAAATTAATTATATGTGAATGTTGTCTCTATATGCCCATGTATATAATCATATTTAATTATATATTCCCTACCGGAAAAAATGTTGTTATACGAATATAATTGAAGTAAATGCTTATGTTTATACGGCTGCCCACGATGTAAACACTTAATCGAATCAAACTACTTTTCCCGTTTTTCATTCGATAATATTTTTAGGCAAGTATATGTGTCATGGGAGTAAAAGATGCACGAAAATATTTGCACACGCAGATCTCAGTTTTAAATTAACAGTCACAGGATGGTTGCAGGTTTTTTTTTAACACGTTTCGGAACACAAAAAATACGACGAAGCGAACCTATGATTCACGAACATGCGCAATACATAGTCGGACAGCTGTAAAAATTACACATGTAATTTTGATATGTACAAACCTAATTTTGACAGCTGTCTAACCGTCTATTGCACATATTCGTGAATCAGAGGTTCGCTTCGTCGTATTTTTTGCGTGAAATACGTAGGAAAAAAACTGTTGCAACCGTCCCGTAATCAACTGTATTCAGGATTGTCTTTTTTCTTCTTTTTTTAATCAGATCAATGCATTGCGCAGTAAATAAAGTTTACGGATGTTCTAAGAACGTTCTTTTCTATTACGACCATATGAATTTCTGCTTATAATATATTCCACGTATATTCGCAGAATATCCGATTCGAATATTCTGTAATTAAGAATATTCGTATTTCATAAGAATATTCATCGAATATTTTGCGCTATCTGAGCAAATCGCTTGTCGAGTTCGCGCTTGGAAAAGAGAGAACGCTACGGGAAATCGCGATCGAATGCGTTTCCGCCAATGCGCGACATTGAAAGCTCAGACGAAACGTCGGCGGCGCAGTAATACTCGCCGCGGCGATGCGTTACGTCGACGCACACGTCACGGAGTATTTTCAGTCGGAACTATCGGATGAGAACGAAGAGCACGGAACGCGAACTCGATCCTGCGTGGGGCGCACGGAATATCATTAATTATTAGTGTCCCAGATACACGCGCGTGTGTGCGTGTATCTGCGGCCGAACGGTAAACATGTCAGCGTCGATTTACGTCACTCCGTGACTGGACCGATCGTGAGTCACGATTATTATTTTAATGAAACGCGGTACAGAGAACTTCACCCTTTCGATCGGCTTCACGACGTTCCCGTCGCTCGTGGAAAACGCGCGCTTATACTGTTCTGCATCGGCCGATCAACTCCGGTGACACGTTCACGCTTAATAGCGACGCGATTCGCCTTTGCACGTTGAGAAAAAGATTTCTTCAAATTTAATGAATTTTATTACATCCAAACAAATTTCATCATTAGCATGTTCCAAAGAAACTAAATGTTTCGATTAATAAGTACGATTGTTAGGCCAAAATTGGGTTTCCCGGACCAAAGGTTCGGTTTTCAGAAGCGAAAATGAAAAAAATCGCTTGGTCTCAGAGAACTAAATTTTGGTTCTCACAACTCAAACATTAGTTAGAGCATATCCTAAACAGATTTCATTTGAGTCAACTAAACGGATTTTTCATTGTGCAATGTCACAATTTCGACAATTACGGATCTTGTCGTCCAAACGCCTCGTACGACCAAATTTGTTCCCCCTGTAAATCGATCACCGTCTAATTACCTTCGTTCGACCGTATCGAAGATTATCAGCCGGATTATCTACCACAGGTGTGTCGTCACTGTGTAAATACGCAACAAGACCGATGTACGATAATTCAAGTACAAAAAATTGCAATTTGTCGTTGGTATATCCGCGCGCGCGCCCGTCAGGTTTACGCGAGAGCTCAATTTAAATCGGTCACAGGGTAAAACGGCGTCGTGTAACGTTCCTCACAGCGCGAAGTCCATCGAGCCGCCGACGATGAAGACGTGCGCACTTAGGGGCGCGAATATTTCCGCCGAAGAGAGCCAGACGGACCTCGCATTCTTGCGCAATCTTGAGCAGAAAAACGCGCCCATCTGGCGCGGAAGCGCTGCAGCAGAAGATACGCACCATCGGGAACCAACCCGTATTCTGCGCAGCAGGCGAGAATTGGTTCGTATCCAATTCTCGTGTGAGCGAATATCGTTATTGCGCCGTAGCTCTAATCGCAGAACATATCGGGTCAGAGTAATCATCACGTGGCAACCGCGACAATCAGCGTGTGTATTCGTGTGTGCGAGCTGCGTCATTGTCTAGAGAGGGCTCGAGAGAGAGCGACGCGGCGGGGCGATGTGTGCGCGATGAAAAATCGACTTCTTAAAATCCGGCGGCGAGAAGTCTCCAGCGAGAAACGTTATCCGGCTTCCTTTCGCGATCTACGATCGACGATTACTCGAGAAAGCGCTTCGCAATCGACGCCTGGCGATCACGAATCAATCGATCGACCGATCTCGAGGAAAGTCCAACGTTCCTGTTGTTCTTGTTATCGTTTATTACGTAAACGAGAAAAGAAGTCTTCCCCTTAGAACAAAAATATATAATTAGTTGTATTTATTTGTATTATAAAGAGAACAGAAAAAAGAGAACAATGATAATGAATTAGAAGTGTTCAAGATAAAAATTAGAGGGGCATTAGGATAAGAGACTAAGTATAGTATAGCTTTGACAATATTATAATATGGATTAAAAAAGAAAAAAATAATATTATTGGACATCGCATTGGCCAATATGCGCAAACATTGCGCTGAATTTTCCATACAATGTGTGATGTTGCTGGTAATTGTTTGGCAATAATAAAACCAGACGAGTCGGCGAATAATTTCATTGATGATGTAATGATAAAGAATTAAATAATAATGAAAAAAAAACATGATGCAACGCGACATACGACATTGAGTGTTCAGCGAGCGACGAGAAAAATCGTCGTTCTTTGTTCGCGCGTTCTCAAACTACGGCTGGCGAGTAAAAATTGCACGAGTCAACTGTCGTGCGATTTGCAATCGCAATCGTTTACAAGTTTACGTCAATGCTCGTCAACGTAAATGTCGGCATTTTAATTTCGCGGCGACGCACGAGTATATTATTCGCGCAACGAATTGCATAAGCTAACGTGCAACGTACATACTTTGCGTTAACTTTGTGATTTTGGCAACTACTTCTACGTGCCGGACTGTCTGTAACGTAACATGGCGAAACGATTGCCTCGCGCCAATCGAAGCCGCACAACCGCTTGTACGTCGCTCAAGGTCTTTCGAAATAGTCGCTGAGAGACGTACAGAAGAAAATGTGAGAGAGAGAGGGAAAGGGGAGGAGATATGAAAGAGATGGAATTACCCAATAGATTTTCCCATCGTCAACACAGCATCCGCACTGACTTGATGGTCGAATGGGTTTAGTCGAGACTAGCGTGCTTTCTCTTTTCTCAGCTTTTGTTTCTCAACAACGCTCGGTAGAACGTCCTTCGAAAATATTCTCCTTGTGATCATTTTGTAACAATAACTGGGACACTTGCAACAACGACATAATAATTAATCGGTGATACCGATCTCGCGACTTTCCTGCATTTCATATTCTACTTTGTTCGCGTGTCGTACCTCTGCTTTGTGTTTCCGAATATCTCGGAAGATGCATTCAGATAGGATTCTTTGTCCTAAGATAGAGAGAAACTTCGACTCTGTTCCATTTTATCTTGTAGATGACTAAATGTGTTTATTAGTAAACATTACATCTTAACTGTGATAAAACATACACAAAGATTCACATTCTAGTGATATACAATGAAAAAGAAAACACAAAAATGTTAATAAAACGAGCAAGTTAGAGTCTAACGCCGATGTGGTAGAGAATGTATCGTCAAATTTTGTTATAACATAATTAATTCGAAAATTCGTATATTTCGCAACAATAAATTTCCACCTGTCACGATGCAAACAAAAGAGTCCTATTAAAGATTTGAGAATTATAATTCAATTGAAATAATTATTAAAATTTATGATTGAATTAATAATTGAATAATTATATGATTTTAACCAATAATTACAATTTTCTACGATAACACGAAATTACTCGCTTCAATATATAATTCTGAGATTCCAAAAGATTAAGAAGAAAGAACTCGATTCCTTTACCTCGTATTTAAATTCAATACTGCGGCAATGTTTAACGTCGCTTCCGCGAATTAACTCGTATAGGATTTCACAGATACGATATCCGCTGTTGATCGTGACGTCACGGTGGGCGATGAAGGACAAGGTTTTTACAATGATTTGCCTATACGATGCGCCTGCTCATTGTGAATGTCCCGGGCAGACCGGATTGTATAGTAACAAATCACGATGAGCATGACTTCTTCGACCAATAGGGCGTACAGGACGTAACCTTTTCCCTTGACCTCGAATCTTTGATTTCCGAACGACCAGTTGCAGTAAACTTCAATTTTCCCCAGAGACGTACCTCGACGATTGTTTCCATCGGCAGGAAGCAACTGTGTACTTTCCGCTCGCGTAAACACAGTGCCGCCAGTATTTGATCCAATCCTATTTACAACAGTGTTTTACGTCGCTTCCTCGTGCTTTATCTCGTCCCGCTGTTTTAAGCGATATTCCTCGCTGTCGATCGTGACATCACGACCGGCCGATGGACAACGTGACCATAAAGCGATTTGCAATACACATGAACCTGCTCATTATGAATGTACTGCAAGCATGCTGCATATGTAAAATATGTTGTGTTAACTTGAACACATTTCACGTGTCTCAAACGTCTACTCAAATTCTTGCGTTAATTTAACACAAAATGAATATGTTGAAAAGTGACACAAATATTATGTCAAAGATTAACACAAAATTAATACATTAAAATACGACATTGAAATATAAGATATGTTATCTTAATATTTACACACGTTGAATATTGATATAATAAAAAATGTTGAGATAACATAAACACAATGTGTTGAATTAACATACGGGTGTGTTAAAAATTTAACGCACGAAAATTCTCACAAGGACCGACTTTAACGCAAGTACAAAATGTTTTTTACCGTGTATGTGCAAATTATTCCTACAATGGGCAATTGTATAAAGGAGCGAGACCTTATTCCTTGTGGCATCGAGTCCAGTTCGATTTTAGAACGACCGTTTTAGTAAACTCCGATCAATTTTGCCAAGAGAAGCGACGCAGTGTGATTATTTGCATTATGAAGAGGCAACTGTGCATATTTTCCTCATGCAAACACAGCGCCGACTAGAACTTGATCCTGTTTACAGCAGTATTTCACGCCGTTTCCATGCTTCACCAGTGCGTCAACTGGTGTTTCAAGAAGGCGATATTCGCTGTTAATCGTGACGTCACGAGCGATCGATGGAGGACGTTCCATGAAATGATTCGAGCATTAGACGTGTCTGCTCATTGTGACCGTCTCGAGCAAGCTGCAGACAATACTTAATCATTTCCACGATGAACCACAAATTCCTCGACCAATTGTGTCGAGGCGTGACCTCCATTCTTGTGAGACCTCGAGTCTTCCTCGTTGATCTCCGATCGACCGCTGTGATAAACTTCAATTCTTAACGAGATGCGCTAAAAAAAAAAGAAACAAAGAGATGAACAAGCAATTACGCGTACAAATGATTTAAAAAATTCCTTTGTTAGACTCGAATGTTGAAATGTCCTTGTTGTTCGGTAATCGAATAATAATAATGACATGTTTACAACACCGAGATCTTCGAAATATGTCGCAACTGATAACACGGCAATCGTTTCACCATACGCGCGTATGGGATCGTAAACAAAGAGAAAGGAAATAACGGAAGTTTTGAAGACTCAAATGTGTTTTGTATACGCAATCGATGTTTTAATTCAACCACCGTTTATTCTTTCGTTTGAGAATGTTCAACGACCGAACGGCCTTAAACTAAATTCGTTGAAATCAACCGTCGATTAAACACGATAATTGATTAAAAAATAATGAATCATTCGCGATCCTGTATGACACATATACTCTCTTCGTCTTCTTCCTTTTCCGGAATGAAAACCGTCATTTTGGAAAAAAATATTATTTTCGTCTACAGAACACGCAGACGTCCTTGGATCAAATTTCTCCCTCTAGAATGTCTAGGACATTTTATCTTTTACTGTATGGACTTTTTAAAATTTTCGTATTTTTCCCATTTTTTTCCGAGCCTTAGAAAAAAACGATAAAAAGTCTGTTTTTTTTTTCGAAATTTTCCGGAGTTTTTTAGCCTTTCCCCTTAGCTTTTCCCATTTTTTTCCGAGCCTTCGGAACATAGTAGTACTGTTCTACTCTGTCATCATACGGGGAACCGTTATTCATCGGATTGAGGGAACAGAATTACCGTTCAAATCATCTCCCGTCGAAAATAATCGCGATTGCACAACGCGGTATCAATTGTAATCGACAGATCAACGATAGCGACTTAGCGCAAAGGATTCGAACTTCGAGCGCGAAGGCACAGATGACGCCGAGCGTGTATTATCCATATTGATTCGCGCGAGAAGGCAAATAAAGAGAGATACAGAGATAGAGAGAGAGAGAGAGAGAGAAAATTTGATGATAAACGGAAAACGTGCCCGCGCGGGCGCGCTTATCAGCGCGATAGAATCGCGTCCTTGCAATTATGCCTCATTAGAGGACTCAGGTGACGGATACCGCGACGCGGCAGAGAGACAGCATCGCGCGGCTGGCAAACGAAATGAGGGAAGGGGGAGAGGCAGGAAGAGAGGTTAGGAGGGAGGTTAGAGCGGATCGGCGAACGTATATAACCTTCCGCTCGGCTCCCATCTATCAGTTCTACCTCAACTTCGGATACGTGACTTCCGGAAAGCTCCCGCGGAGGAATAGTTTTTGTTTGTTTGGGACTCGTTGTATGGGTAAGTGTCGAGGGGGGAAGGCCATGGTGGGACAGTCGGTGATTGTCCACGTTTAGTGGGCGGTGTCTTGGGCAGGCTCTAGATCGACGCGCGCTAGATCGAGCGCCGTCCGTTTCGCTCCGGGAGAATCCCTCACCTTCCTCTCTGTCATCGTCGTCTCTGCCTCCTCCTCTCGTCGGGCTCTCTCCCGCACGGGAATTCCCACGCACGTATTTTTTCCACCGAGTCATTGATCTCACCGCCATGACTCATCGGCGAATGACACCACCCACGTAAAGGAGAGGCAATAACGCGCTAACTGGGATGTGACAGCGCGCGCAGCTTATCGAGCGACGTCGCCTCTACGGCGAGCGTAAACGGGAAATTGCGCACTTTATCGATGATCCTTCCTCCCAGGATCTCGTTTGTCTCCCGTGTCTCGGGGAAATTGCGCATGACAATTCTCTACTCCGTGTTTCCCGTTGTTGGCCTTTATGACGCAACGGTCGCGTAACGACGCGCGCGCGCGCGCGCGAGAGAGAGAGAAGGAGGGAGGGAGGGAAAAAAAGAGAGCGATCATCTTTCAAAGGAATGCCTGCTCGCGAATTTTTGCGTGGAATAATTGCGAATGCCATTGACGCCGGGAAGTCCGTGTGAAAGCACGCTAACGGATAACGAACGCCGATCCATCTCTCCTCTATCTTTCGGAGCGCCTCGATCCGACGACGCAATGCGGTGGCGTGCGATTTAGCGCGAAAACTGCGTCGCAAAAAAGGACGAGAGAGAAAGAGAAAGGAAGAGGGGGAGAGAGAGAGAGAGACGTGACGACGAAGGTCGCAGTAGACACGTGGCAAGAGCGCTACACTATCTGTTTGGTCGTGTATTGATTCACCACGCGCCTTGCGGTGTCACCCCGGGCATCGTGTGTACACGCCGCCATGTTGGATACCGAGCCGACGACAAGTCCGATCCGCCTCTCCGCATTCATCTCGCAGATTTTGTCTTACGGCACCGTGCTGATCCGTGTACTCAAATAGCAGTGGACTCACGGTAATCGTGGCCTCTCGCGCGGATATTTTTGTTTTCTTCACCCGCTCGCGAGCCGACGCTATCGAGAGAATCGCCGTCCTTGCGGCTCAAGTCGCGCAGTGTCAAGGCAGCGAGTTATGTCACGATCGATGTGTTACGTGTGCCGCCGGACTCTTTATCGCTGATTATCACGCTCCTCGAATTGAAGTGTCCTTTGTTCTCGTGTCTTATCGCACGGTTATATCATATCGAAGAGATACACTGAAGAATCCCCGGTTTTTTCTGTTAGGAGTCCAAGTGCGCCTCCAGCCCGCCTTGCTCAGTCCTGTTCTTCCGTTTCTTCTTGCTTGTTTGCGTACAATATTGAAATATACAAGCTCTTGTTGTATTTTCAACACATAAGCATTGTGGAAGTAGGACTGAAACGGTGGGATCTACAGATCTTAGCAGAATGGCTAACTTGTACTTTCAAGATGTATTTTCATCTCCGATCTTTGCTCAAATTTTCTTTTTAACTTTTCGATCACAAACAGGACAGCTTTTTAATTTAAGAAACAAGACGATCATTGTGCGTCATGTAGAAACAAAGACCTTGAACCGATGAGTCAACCATTCTGCTGAGGTTCTAACGCGAAACATTGCAATTTATCCACGAGAGTATGTACATTTAATAAAATATTCAATATCTATTCTGTGTTGCTTCTTCGCAGTGGGAAATAACGTTCTTTTTCTTGTAATGTTTAGAGCAAGAGAAGAGTAGAAAACACGGAGAGAGCCCTGTAGAGCCGATAAGCAGCTGCAGGGACGAACATGGCTTTGTGCCAACAGTTGGCCGCTGGGGCAGCGAATGGCCAAGTTGACTCGAGACGGCAAAGACATGGTGCCAGCCACAGGGGCAGGCACGCGGGCCCTGGATCAGGGGTTCTCCGCTACCCCTGCCGGTTTGGGCCCATTACGCGTCACCAGTCCTGACCGTTTACACGGTCGAACAATATGAGGAACTAGCGGGCAGCGTTGAACTTGAAACGCAACGTTTATTGCGTGAGCATCGCTATAACACTGTTGGCAATTTCCTCAGGTATGTACAGCGTCTGTTATTTGCCGCCTGTTTATTCAAGTGTGCTCTGTGAACATTACTCTGCGACGTAACGCGCAATATCCGCCAACAGGTTCTATAAGGACTACTCTACAAGTGGAGAAAGTGTGCTTGAACGTTTCTACCGCAAATACCAGCCGCTAATAACAGACGAACATTACACCTGCGTCGGCCTTGGATTCGAGCTGTTACGCCGGTTAACGGATTTGGACGAGCGATATCCAGGATTGGCGAGTAGTCTCTACTTGACATCATGTGAGGAGGTGAGTTTGAGGTCTTCTCTCTTCAATGGAATCGTCAATACGTAGGATCAATGAGAAAGATGAGCACATACCTTGGTTCTTTCTATTACAGACGATTGGCGATATCGCCAGCTACGTCGGCGGTCCACCGGCGGCCGACAGCGGCGAGAAGGAGCATGTATTAGTGTGCCTGAAGATCAAGATTGGCGAACGTTGCGGCTTCATGCTGCTCGATCCCGGTTACCACATAGCTCGCGTTGTCACTGTGATGGCCGATAAATTGTACCCTCATACCGGCTGGTTCACGCAAGTCGACGAGCCGAACTGCAGGAAAACGTACAATTACTGTCTATGTGCCGACGATCCCGACTATATCGAGTGGCATGAGAGGGTGACTCGACCTGGTGCCTTGGAGACGACGCAAGTCGCTCTCATTTATGTGGCGAGGCCATATTTAACTGCCATTGATGTTACCGAACGTAGAAACTTGGTTTATAACCATAAGAGCCTCATAGCCAGAGATACTAAGGGCCACACTACCGCTGGTATATATTTTCCTGTTGTACTGGACCGCGACAACGCGCAAACCTTCACGATTTTCCATCAGACCACTACCAACAGGAAGAAACGTGTTAAAATGGAATTCAAGAAATTTTACTGCACATCGGAGGTAAGACGAGAAAACTCTTGGCAACCTCAAGGCCTGTTGTGCAAATAAATCATAGGTCGGAATGTAGTCGACGGATCAATGAGAGAATTTATTTTTCAAAAACGAATTTTTCTCATCGGACCGTCCGCTGCATTGCGACGATGACGTACGACGTATTGTGTAACAGGTTTTAACGATCCACGCTATCGAGACGACAAAACGATATCTCGTTCGTCTCGGCAGACGTAGTTATGCCGAATAAAATAGAAGGATCAATTTTGTTTGTCGTTTCACAGATACGTCTTAACGCCGAGGAAATGGAAATTATCACGGAATGTGCCCGACAGCTCAACATTCCGGAGGATAACCTGACGAGTATGATTTGTGCTCTCGCCACCGTCATGAGCGACACGTCATTCGTGGCGCAGTTGTTGACCATCAACAAGCGTATCAACACCTTAGCAGAGGCAAATTAACAAAAATCAAGCAAAGACCCAGCATGGTGTCGATACAACATTACGTTTCATGATTTCTTTTGCCGGCTTTCCTCTTACGTTCTCTTCCTTTTATTAAACTATCGTAGATATGCTTTTTTTTTACGTTTCATAAGTTCGTCTCGTATTTTACGAAGTGCTCGTAAAGTATTTTCAAAAAAAAGTTTCGCTGCCACTTAGTATCGCATTTTGCGTGTGCAATTCAATGAAAACATTAACAGATCGAAATGGCGCGTTACAGTATGCGTTTCAACACGTGTGCGTCAATTTCAACACGTTGAACCGCCGTGTTGATTTCCGCCGAGGAGCTTTCGAAAGACGGAAGTTGTTTTGTCCAGTTGTCTCGTCATTGTCGCGTCATTCAACGTATTGAGGGTGATCCTTTTAAAAACATTCGCTTTTTATCTAGGCATGCACACGGCAATTCCGATTGTCAACCGTTTTATATGGCCTACACTTGAAAATTTACATAAACGCTTTTTAAACTTTAGTCTCGCAGTTTATGCAGTTTACGTTCGTTTTTATGGTAATGTATAACTAGATCGGTATGATAATATTTTCATTGAGTAATCTCGAAACTAAAATTATATAGACCACTATTTGTGTAGGAAAGACTTTGACTAAAATCGTATTAGTACAAGGGATAATTTGTTCCATCATTCTTATTTAGAATAAATATATCTATATCTATATATGTGTGTGTGTTTTTCAGTTGTTAAAACGGAAAATTAACGACCTCATTTGAATAAAACAATTATTTGACGGGCAAAGAGCCTTCGTATCGTTCAATAAATACCCCATACCTCTCGATGAGCGTGCAACATGTGTCGCCCTTGTTTTCAAACGATGGAACACACATTTGTCAACCGTCAGCAAATGCGCCAATTGGTCGAAGTTGATCACGCAAAAAACAGTCGCAATTCGGAATACTTTTGAAATCATTGATCATTTATTGCCTTTATATACATTAGACTTCTGATTATTGTTATACGATATTTGAAACTAACATAAACTGACGCAAGCGGATATAGTACATGTCTGTGATTATATAAGTCTTTAAGATCTCTCAGAGTACATTTTTTATATCAATTTAAGGATACAATTTGCTACTTGCCACTGCAGAAACTATCCAACGAAATATACACTTATAACTGTTCAGTAACGTTACATCATAGAGAATTATTATATACCTGTTGTACCTCGTATAACATTATAGAAGATAAGATGTATCTGAATGAGAAACAAAATAAATTAATGCAGTTCGCTTTGATTAAGGCTCCCTGTTTCCTTGCAGCGACCATAGTCAGAAACGAGAAAAAGTATGCTCAAAATTCTTACCGGAGGACGTTAAACCGAAAGAATATATTCACAAAATGACACTTGCGATTGATCGAGCACGTTTGTAACATACGACTTATCGTCTCTTATTATTTTGTCACATTAATTTAGAAGAAAAAAAGCAAGTTTTCGGAATATTTTTAATATCCTCCATCGATCACAAGAGTGTCACCTTATAGACACATCCTTTTATTTTCATTGTATTTCAAAAAGATTTCAAAAGAATATTGTGCACTGCGTTTTTTCGCTTCCGACGTTTTCGATCAAGCCAGCCGACCGTGACAAGGAACCAGGAATCTTAAATGATAAAAATTTATATCTTGCTACTTTAGAAACTCATTTTTATATTTGTAAATATCGATATATATATATTATGTATATAACACCGCGCGAACTTAAAATCTACAAAGATATATATCTATATATTTAAATACGTATTTATATATAAAATATAACAACTTATTGCGTTACTCAAAGAATTTTGCGGTATTAGCTTTAATTACGCGTATTAAGTTGCATTCGAGAATCCACACTGTGTGCACACAGTGTGGATTCCCGAACACAACTTTAAATGATCACATGTGTGCGTGAATGTAACGATATTTTCTCACCGGAGCAAAAATAATTTAGAAAAGAAAAAAGAGAATTTTTTGTTTGTAGAGAAAATATTAGTAATCACGCATACAATACTGACTGTTTATGTGAAATGAGGAGGATTTAAAACATTTTTCTTATTAGGTAAGGTCCGTAATAGAGGCAAAATAAGATATATTGCAGTTAGTAACTGGAGATACTCTAATCGCCACTATTGGACACTGCGCGACTTATATCTACTTGGCTTTTTTACTAGGAATATAGACTACCGACGGTTCCTCTGATGCTTCACGCTTTCGAGATTCAGGCGTGGAAGGTGGTACTTCCGTACTTGAACTTTTACCTTTCCCCTTCCCTTTTCTTTTCGGAGATTCTGCAGTTTCCGTTGTAGCTTCCCTGTAAATACGCGACAAATTAATTAAACACAATGACACTTTTACGTAACATAGACATTAGATCTAAGTGGGAAGCTAAGCTATCGTAAAATTACTGATGGTATTACCGTAGATTTGTAGAACTTTTAGAAGGGAAAAGAAAAGAGTGAAAGAGAGAAGACACACACCGATCCATACAAAATAAGCATGCACTTGCCTTATATAATGATCATGTGAAATTGCTATTTTCGCTTTTGCAATTGTCGATAGATAAATTAAAAAAAAAGGAGAGAGAGAGAGAGAAAGAAAGAATCTAAAAGCTAGGGTAAAAGCAGTATCGCATAACGATTTATCCAAATTGAGAAAAGAGAATGATAGTAATAATAATGAGTAATAATAATAAATTACATCTCCGTCAATATGAATTGTGACTGATTTTTACGTGAAAACCTAATACAACGATAATGCGTGAACTAGCTGGTATGCTTAATGTATGTACATATTAATATCGACCAACGTCAACTGATATCACCGTCAAATTGAAGTGAGAGCAATTAATACTGTTCTGTAACTCGAAGGTAAAGAAATACAAAAAATCCGCATCAACATCTCTAATAACATGTTGGTGTTTTGAAACCATTCGCGTTACTCACTCTCATTCCAATCTGCCAATGTGTGCCTATCATTTAGAGAAGAGACCCTTACACAGTATCATTAGCTAGAGAACGTTAACTAGAAGCGTTCGCAATCACAGATAAGTCCAGGAAGTAAAATTGCAACGAACAGAACAAAATAACGAATAACGGAGTGACGCAACGTACTTACGTCGCGCAAGTGTCACTGCTGTGTACTATGCTTTTAGCTTATTAATATTTGCGCCTGTACCTGCAATACACAAGATGGTATATTCTATACCAATCTCTCAGCATGTGTTCGCGGTATCGCGTGAGCCATAGCGTAACTTTGCGTATGATTACGAAATCAGAGTACGTGTGTAGACACGCACATCGTTAGAAAAATTATAATAAAATAATCGTAAAATAATAGCGATGTTATCTTGATGTTAAATAATCAGAATCTTGCGCTTCATTGCAGCGATAAATAAATAAATAAATAAATAAATAAATAAATAAATAAATA